GACATACATGCAACGCGTGCTTCTGTGCATTCATTATTTTAGTCTTTGCGTAATTTTGTGTATTCATTGCATCGTAACCATATGATCCATTAAGTGAAATCTTGCAAAATAAACTTTTTCCTTTATTTCCTTCTAATTCAGCCTTTTGTCTTTCGTTCATAAATTTGTTCGCAAATTCATTAAAACAAGTGTTTTTAGTAAATGTTAAAATTGATTGAATGTCATCAATGATAAAATGAAATCTGTCTATTAGATACCAAAGATAATAAGAAGAAAATGGTTGATATTGGTTGTGTGTTGATGCTAACTGAGTTAATTTTCTCTGTTTCTGGTCAACTGGTAGATTGTTTGATTTCATGTAATTATACATAAAACTGCCAATTGTTTTTTCATCTGTGATAATATCTAAGTTTCTTATTATCGGTAAAAAGTTTATGTAATCATTAATGTATTTTTCATCAATGTGACCCTTTACTTCAGCCACGAATAAAGTATTTTTCTTCTTAATATTCCCAGTGCTTTTGCTTTCTTTGTTGCTGTATCACAAATGATAACACCATTCAATCTTCCCGGCATATACATTTTATGGTCAGTATATTGAATGAAATCATGAGGATTAGATGAAAATGATGAAGGATATAATGAATTAAAGTCAACTCCAACGAAATGAGTCATAATGTTGGTGGTGTCCTCATTTGATACAGTTTTAGTTTCTGGATTATATGAAAGTTTATTAATGTGCGTGATTCCTTTAAGATTAACACGATGTTGAACATTTGATAGACCACCAGTAATTCCATTACGGAGAATGTGATAAGCTTCAACTGAATCTAAAGTCATTGGTAAATTATTTTTTAATGCATAATTTCTTAAATTGATTCTTAAACGTTGAACATCTTCATCTTTATTTGATTTTACGACATTGCAATAACAACACATTAACTGACAATTTTCTTTGGTATGTGGTTTTTCATTATCGATTCTATCCAATGTTGGTTTATTTACATATGTAAACGCTTTACCACACATTTTGCATTTAGATGAAAGGATTAAATCGTGATAGTATTGATAGTCATCCATTGAAACATTGTTTTTGGTATCTCTTTTCGCCTTTTCATCTTGTTTCTTATATGAATCAATTTTATATTTCCAATACTTTTTTGTTAATTCAAAACTTGATTCCACATTTTCTTCTTCTGGATATGTTTCGTTAGGATTGAAGTTCTTATATGCTAACGCGTAACGAATCATTGATGCATTCGATGATAAAGAAAGATTATGAAGCATGTCAATTTTATAAACAAATGTTTCTTCGATAATTTTATCAATTGGGTCAATCATAATTTCAACGTCTTTATTGCAATAATGAATAAAATATTCTAATCTATTCTCAAAATTTTTAGCATCATTGAGATATATTTGATAATCTGAATCGGATATTGTTTCTTGTGTTAATGCTGAATAAAATGAATCTTGAGTGAATGGTTCCTTTTTATATAATTCATCTTCGTAATTCTCCCATGTGATGAATTGATAAGGGAAAAAGGATTTAACACGTGATTTATTGTTTCCGAAATCTTGAGTGAATTGGTCTAATGTTCCACCCGCTATATAATTTCTGATGTCAATAAATCTTAATTCATATGGACAGTTTGTTTTCTTTACTATGACTTGCTTAAATTGAGAAGAAGAACCCAGCATTGATTTTATCTTCCATTTTGCAGTATTTAAATCACGAAGAATTAAATTTAAATCAAACTTTCCCGAATTAAAACCAATGATATTCACTTTATTAAATTCTTCATCTAAAAGCTCTTTCATTGCTTCCTTTTGTTTCTCATTTAATGTATTCATTAATTCTTCATATTGTTCAATATTTGATTTAGCAACTAATGAACAGGTTGAAAATAAAAATTCAATCCAATCAGAGATGAACGAATCACTTGATGTTAAGCAAAAATTCCTCGTAAATGTTTTATCACGGTCTACGTCCTCGCCGCTTTGCGGCTTTATTTTGACAGTTGATGATACCATAAATGGTTTTAAGTAAGCGTTCAAAGTTGCACATTCAGAAAGTTGAAGTTCTTCTTTAGTCTCTAATGTTTCGAAGTCAAAAGTAATATAATATCTTGTTGGTTTATAATATTCCTGCAAATTATGTGCTAATAGCCATTGATATATCTTCTGTTTCGTGATATGTGGTGCATATGGTTGTTGTGTGTTTTGCAATTGAACGTCTTGAATTAATCTTCCATTATTTTCTTTACATTTCTCACAATGTTTTAAAAATCTTCTTTGGTTTTTCCTTTCTGGATCATCACGGATAGAATAACTTCTTCTTTGCAAAAGGGGCAAACTTTATATCCTGTGAGTGCTTCAACGTCTGTAATTCTGTCAGCGTGAAGTTTTCCACATGGACTCTGTGTTAATAAAATATTTACTGTTTCAAATTCTGGATCTATCATTATTGATTCCACTAATGGAAAGTCTACCTTGTTAATGTCTACGTCTTCTGGTTGAGGGTCACAATAATAAAAATCAATATTAACGTTTAACATTCTTGCTAACCTCTCACTTTCTGATGAAATGTCAAATCCTTCATATGCATCTATGGCTTCATTTAAATAACTTCTACGAGTTTTAGGATTAACACCATCAGGAATGTTATAGAAGCGTTTAAATAACCTTCTACCTTCGGCTCTTATTTGATTATCATTCATTTTAGCTGTTCCATTTTTGTTCATTTATGTAAGAATAAAAATTAAAAAATAAATAAAAATAAAGTTTATTTTTTTTAAAGTCCGAGACTCAGAGAGTCCAGGGCTAAAGTCCATAAAATGAATTAAGAACACATAAATTTTTATCATCTGCGACGTGACGAATACATTTTAATTTACTCAAGAATGCGTACCCTGATACATTAAATCTAATTCCTGTCTTATTTAATTTCACAACTTTGAAAAGGAATGTATGAATAGCTATAAAATGATGAGAAGATGTTTTATGGGTTGCTTCCATTTTTTCTGAAATAAATGAATAAATATAATGTTATAAGTTTTCATATCTTTTATGTTCTTAATAACGAATGGTATAGACCTTTCAACTTCGTCTTCCTTCGGTGCTGTTCTTTCATATGAAACATTATTGGTATCTTCAATAATGAAACCACAATCGCATAAAATTTTATATGTACCAATTGTTTCTTTTGATATTTTATCTAACAAATCAAAAACTTTATCAACACCTGTACATTTATTTAAATAATAATTTGTGTAAATATCATGGTCTTCTTTCTTAATCGTATTTGTTGCATATGTTACATTTTTCAGTGCTTTTTTGAATTTTTCAGAATCAAGAGGAGGTGAAAGTAATATACATGGATAATCTCCATCGTCAATAAACTGAAGCTTATGTTTATGAATAAATTTTGTGCCTTCTTCTGAAAGTGTTTCGTCAATATCACCATCTAATAAATTTTTGTTGATTCCAAATAATTTTTATATCTTTCCTCATGTGATTTTTGAACTTCTGATTCTGAAGCTGGGATATTCATTAAACCCTCTACTTCATTCTCAGCATTTCTCAATTCCTTAATTTTTCATCTATTTCATTTCTTAATTGTTCCAATTTCTCAATCTCATCGTTATAATATTCATCTTGTTTAATTTTTTCTTCAAAATATTCAGGAGGTGTTTCAAGGCTCTCTGAGCCCAGGTCCTCTGGACCATAAAGAGGAATATTCTCCTGTTTTTCAACTTTTTTGGGATATAAATATCTCATTATAGCCTTTTTAGTAATTGGTCCGTTATATTTAAATTCATTCAACAATCTGGAAAACTCTTTCACATTCTGCATATATGTTGGATAAGAACCGTCTCCAAAATTTTCTAAAATATTTTCTAATTCTGAATTAGTGAACTTTAAAGATTTCAATGAATTAGTTGTTATACTCATTTATTATAAAATAAAAAATAAAAAAAATAAATTTAACTTAGTTTTAATTTTACGTAAGAAGTCAATTTTTTAAATCTTGATTTATTCAAAAACGTAAGAATAAAAACCGTAAGAATCATACATTTTTTACTTCATATGTTAAAAAAAATGATACAAAATCGTTCAATATTGTATGAATTCTTACGTTTACAAAAAAAGTCACACAACCCTTCAACATATACTACTAAAAATATCAACTTTTAAAAACAGAAACTTAACATCCTTAGGTCAATGGATTTTGATGTGAGATACATTTAATCTGTTTTTCTTTTTTATTTTAAATAATTGAATATTTATAGTTGTTATGGGTCTTACATCATGTAAAACGAATTTTCTTAAAGTAAATTTACTTTTTCTTCAATCTTTCTTACATATTTATTAAAAAAAAAATTATCCAAAAAAAGATGTTTTAGAATGAAAAAAAATAGGAAAATCTTCATTTATAGTCTTTCTTGAATGTATACGTTTTGATTTTTTTCTTTTTTAAAAAATTCAATTTCTAGAAAAATCGAGAAAAAATCATTTTCTTCTATTTTTTAGGATGCCATACCCATTGAAATCTCTTCTCAGGACGCCATAAACTATTCAATTATGGTGTAAACTTCTCAAAAATTGAATAGTTTACATCAGGACGCCTTAGGACGCCAACCCTTTACGCGCCCCATAAATTACGATTAAAACGATGAAAGAACCAAAAAGTGTATTTTGTGTTTTGTTGTTGCGTGTTGGATGCGGGATCCTGTTATTTCCGAAATCGACAAAAAATTTGGAAATTTAATTTCCGAAATCGAAATTATATTAATGTTTTTAATATTCTTATATCAAAAGGATTAAAGTTCATTAAGAGAAAAACAATTCTTCTTCTTCAATCTATTGGCGCATTTATTTCTACACGCCAATAAGGAAGGGAAAATTATAAGACACCATGGTGTCTTCAAAACGCTAATTTTTGATATTTTTAACAACCCTAGAAATTATCTTTCGAAGAAAAAATATCGCTAGAAGTAATGTCAATTGAATTAAACCCTGTTGATGAACAGTTTGAAGACGTTGATAATGAGATCATGAACGATTTTACAAACCTTAGAAGCGAATACCAAAAGATCCTTGAGAAAACAAATGAAAGTAGAGCATCAATTATAGAACAGTTAGCGAAAATGGAAGAAAGACTGATTTCTAAACAAGAAAAGTATAAAGTTTGGGTAGCAATGATAGAAAAAGCCGAAAAAGAAAATAAATCCAAAAGTTCGAAGCCAAAAAACAGAGATAAACTATCTTGAAATAGTTATTTCAAATTATTTGTTAAATATTAGTTATTATTATCACGAGTTTTATTTTTCTTAAGGATTTCTTCATATATTATCATGACAAATCGGGTGAGTTTATGGTGTTTAAGAATTGAACAAATCATCTCACTTCTTAAGCAGAATAAATATCTTTGGCATATACTAAATACAAAACAATATCGAATATCAGATCCATAGCTTTACAAAAGGTCAAATTTACAACATTTCAATCGATGATTATCTTTATAGGATCTCCCCAGTGAAATTTTAGGAAAAATGAATCATTAAAATGTGTAAATAGTTGGGTTTCATTGAGAGATCTACTAGTTATATTACGTCCAATTTGATTGATCATTTTACACTTGGAAATGAGCAGAAAAGAATTTCTTCATTCTTTATTTATGCTTAATATAAATGAAAGGTTTCCTTCAAAGGACTCAGTAAAAAATCAGAAAATTGAAAGATTTCGTGAATTGATTCATCTTCTCTTCTGTTTAAATAATAGGAGTGGCTAAGTTTACTACTGATTTGTGATTAGTTTTGTAATAAAAATTCCGCCATTTTGTCTTTGTTGAATAGATTTGTCACTTTTCTATCGTTCAAAGGAAAATGTCGCGGGAAAATGAACATTTTATAAAACACATTGCCCCGCAATCTTCCACACCAAATAAAATTACTCGTCTTGATTTTTCCATCATGGACACTCAAGAAATCAGAAAATTAAGTACTGTTTTTGTCCATGAAAATGAATTATATGAACCACGCGATCTTAAACCAAAGGTCGGAGGCACATTGGATTTAAGGCTTGGTGCAGCATCTAAGAATCAGATCTGCCAGACTTGCGGTCAGCCCCAAGAAAATTGCCCTGGACATTTTGGTTCTTTAGAGCTAGTACTTCCCGTTTACAATATTGGTTTTTATCCTGCTATTTTACACTGCTTAAAATGCATTTGCAAAACATGTTCGAACATACTTCTTCCTAACGAAGAGATCAATTCTCGTCTCAAGAAGTTTTATTCCAAGCCACCTCAAACAGTTTCAGCAAAGATAGATCGTGTCAAAGCTCTTATGAAGGAGTGCGAGAAGGTAACGATTTGCCCTCATTGCGGAGCCATAAATGGACCCGTTAAAAAGACAAAAACAACACTTATTATTACTCATAATGTTGGACAAAAGAACGATAAACTTCGTGAGCCATTTCTCAGCAAATTCAGTAAGCTAGATATCAAAGGAGATGATTATAAAAAATATCTTGATAACATTTGCGACGATATTACTCCATTAAGAGCTTTACAACTCTTCAAAGCAATTCCTACTCGCCAAATCCCTCTTCTTTTGAGCGGATTTTCCGTTTCTTCACCAGCCGATATGATTATTACTTCAATTGTCATTCCTCCTAACTGTATTCGTCCAGCAGTCATTGCAGCAGGCGAAGGCACAAACCAGGATGATCTTACTGTCCGCCTTGTCGATTCCGTTCATTTCAATGACGAAATCCGCAAATCCATCGAAGTTGGTCGCCAAGCCAGCTCAACCATGGAGCTCTGGAGCTCACTCCAACAGAACGTCAATAGCTCCATCAACAGTGAAGCAGCGGATACAGCAGCCAAAACGAAGAAAAAGAACAAACCAGTTATCGGCGTTATCCAACGTCTTAAAGGCAAACAAGGACGTTTTAGAACGAACCTTTCAGGTAAACGTGTCAACTACTCCGGTCGTACAGTTATTTCCCCTGATCCTAATGTCAATGTCGACCAAGTTGTCATTCCTGTTTCCATGGCGAAAATTTTGACATTTCCAACTCGTGTTACTAAATTCAACAAGAAAGACTTGATGAGATACGTCAAGAACGGTCCAGACAAATACCCCGGTGCGAACAACATCATCAAGGCTGACACAGGATTCAAACTTTCACTTGCTTATGGTAATAAAGAGCAGAGAGCACAAGAATTGAGAGAAGGCGATATTGTTGAGAGACATCTTCTTGATAATGATACAGTTCTTTTCAACAGACAGCCTTCTTTGCACAGAATCTCTATCATGGGATTCAGAGCTAAAGTCATGGAATGGTGCACAATGAGATTTAATGAATCTGTTTGCGCTCCTTTCAACGCTGATTTCGATGGTGATGAAATGAACGTCCATTTACCACAAACTCTCGAAGCCGCAGCCGATGCTAGATACCTCATGAACGTTCTTTACAACTTGTTCTCTCCGCGTGCCGGTGAAATGATCGTCGCTCCAACACAGGACTTCTTGTCAGGTGCTTTCATCTTGACAAGGAAAAACGTTTTTCTTGATTATTCTCACTTCACTTTTCTTATATCACAAATTTTTGACAACCTTGAAGAAGTTGATATTCCTCCACCCGCCATTGTCAAACCATACCAATTATGGACAGGCAAACAAGTTGTTTCTTTGATGATTGCGCCAAACAAGAAGACAGATCTCCATTTCACACACCAAGTAGGAAACAAAGAATACACAGGAAACAAGGAAATGTGCAAGAAAGACGGTTACGTTTCCTTCCTTGATAACTACATGGTTTCCGGTGTTCTCGAGAAGTCTCTTATTGGTGGTGGTCCTAAATCTCTTTGGGCAATCATGGCAAGAGATCATTCACCGAAATTCGCAGCTGTTTGCATGCAAAGAATCGCAAAAATGTCTTGCAGATACTTAATGAACAGAGGTTTCTCAATCGGTATCATGGATGTCCGTCCTGATGAGAATTTGACGAATAACAAGAATGCGCAGATCTCTAAGACATACCAAGATTGTTACGACAAGATTGCGGAATACGATTCAGGAAAACTCGAAGCAGCTCCTGGTATGACAAAACTCGCAACTCTTGAAGCATTTCTCAACGGCCAATTATCAGAATTGCGTAACAAAATTGGTAAAATGTGCATGGCAGAGTTAAGTCCAATCAATACTCCTTTAGTCATGGCTAAGTCAGGTGCTAAAGGTTCTGATATCAACATCTGCCAAATGATGGCTTGTTTGGGTCAGCAATCTGTCGGCGGCAAGCGTATCATCGATGATTTCATTGATAGATCTATTCCACACTTCAAACACGGTTCTAAAGATCCAATTTCAAAGGGTTTCATCGCAAGCTCTTTCTACACAGGTTTGACACCGTCAGATTTCTTCTTCCACACAATGGGTGGCAGAGAAGGACTTGTCGATGCTGCTGTCAAGACAGCGCAGACAGGTTACATGCAGAGACGTCTCATGAAGTCCTTAGAAGATTTGGTAATCGCATACGACCAAACCGTCAGAATGTCAGATGGAACAATTGTTCAGTTCACTTATGGTGATGATGGCTTAGATCCATTGAACTTGGAGACAACGTATTTCCCTGTCGACTTGAACAGAGTTTCCCAGGAATATCTCTTCAAGTTCTCACAGGAACCATTGATGGATCAAATCGAAGCACGTGAGAGAATCGAAACATTGTTCAATGACATTCGCGAGGAACAACAAGGCCGTGGATTAGTCCGTGTTCCAGAGTTTTTGATCGACAGATTGAAAAAATACATCGATGATTTATTGGAGAAATACATCAAGGCAAACGACCAATACATCGGAGAAGATTTGAGCATGGACAGCTACATCAGAGCTACAATTCCTTTCACGAAGTCATTCCTCGAGGAATTCGTTAAGTTCTGCATGCACAGATGCGAGAAATCCATGGCAGAACCCGGTATGACAGTCGGTGCTGTTGCAGGCCAATCAATTGGTGAACCAGCAACACAAATGACTCTCAGATCTTTCCACTTTGCTGGTGTCGCATCAATGAACGTTACTTTGGGTGTTCCAAGAATTGAAGAAGTCATGAACGCTGTTTCTGAGATCAAAACACCTATCATCACTGCAAACCTATTGTCGCAGAGAGATGAAATTGCTGCAAGAATTGTCAAAGGAATTATTGATAGAGTCACTCTTGGACAAGTTTGCAAACACATCGAGTACAATCAGAACGAGAAATCATGCTACATTGATATCGAACTCGATGCAGAAATCATCAGAGAAGCGAAATTGAACATTACTTCAGAAACAGTCAGAAGATCAATTGTAAACACACCAAAGATCGGTGTCAAAGATGAAAACACAGCTAACAATGGTGATTACAATGTTAGAGTTTTCATGCAGGGAGCAAATCCAAAGGCTTTCTCTTTCATCATGCAGCAGTTGATGCTCAAACTTCCTGATGTCGTTGTTTCAGGAGTTCCTGGTGTAGAGAGAGTTCACGTCGGCAAAGAAAACGGCTGCTTCAAGTTGTTCGTCGAAGGTAATCCTTTCTTGAAGGTCTTGAACACACCAGGTATCGATCCAAAGAGAACAGTTTCAAACCACGTTTTGGATGTAGAGAAAGTCCTCGGTGTCGAAGCCGCGAGATCAGTCATTATCTCCGAAATCACAAACGTCATGAAGAACTATTCCTTGAATATCGATAGAAGACACTTGATGCTTCTTTCCGATTTGATGACAATCAGAGGCAAGGTTTTGGGTGTCACGAGACATGGTTTGGCAAAGACATCTGTTTCTTCACTCAAACTCGCTTCTTTCGAAACAACTCAGGAACATTTGTTCAATGCCGCTTTTCACAACGTTGATGAAGTTGCAAATGGTGTTTCTGCATCAGTTATTTTGGGCAATTTCGCTCCAATCGGATCCGGAATGATTGATGTTTTGGTGTCCGATGAACTCTTGAAGAGAACAAGTTTGACACCAAGATGCCATTTGATCGAAGACTACATCAATCCAATGTTCTTGACAGCTCCTTACGCGACAAATGACGGATTCTTGAAGCCACAATTCTCCGTCAAATCATTCCTTTCTCTCGAGAAATTCCTCAAATCAGAGTTCTTGACAGAACAAGGCTACTTGAAGCCACAATATCTCAGACTTGAGAAGTTCTTGAAGAAGGATTTGCTCGCGAAGGACAAAGATCCAAACGATCCATTCAAGATCTACAACGAAGATGGAACAGTCAATCAAGAGTTGTTGACAAAGGATGGATTGTTGAAGAGATCTGTTCTCGACAGCGAGAAATACTTCTCTTACGACTTCATCACGAGCGAGGGAATGATGTCACCACGTGATCTCATCAAGTTCGACAACCTCGCAAGAAACGACCACCTCAGAAGAGAATTCTTGGGCGAAGATGGTTTGTTGAAGCCAGAATATTTGACAGAAGAAGGCTTCGTCAAAGAAGAGCTTCAAACAAAGGAAGGAAAGCCAATTCCAAGGAGTTTCATGAAGCACGAATTCCTCACAAGAGATGGACTTCTCAAGAAGGAATTCTACACTTCAAGCGGACTCCTTCAAGCCAAGAACTTCCTCAAATTGGAGTACATCAACACAAGAGGAGAACCAATCCCAGATTTCGATCTCAAGCCTGAGTATTTGACAAGAGATGGAATGTTGAAGATGGAATATATCGCTGATGACAACGGAAAGAACAACAAATGCTACATCAAGCCAGAGTTCATGAAGCAACAATACTGGTGGCCGAAATACACTGGTCCTGACTATGTTAAACCAGAACTTTTGAACCCAGAGAATTTCGTTAACCCAGATTACTTGAAGCCACAGTTCTTAACTCCACAACCACAAAGCAAATACCGTGAACAGATCGAAAAAGGTACTTTCAAGCCAAGAAAATAAGCTTTGTTTTTTTATATTATTTTAGATATTTTTTTTATTGAAAATAAAAATAGAAAAGTTTTTTTATTATTATTTACATCAAATATTTTATGTAATGAGTTAAATATTTTCTATAAAATTCTTCCTAATTTGATGATTTTGCGAATATTTTTGATTTAATATATTAACTTTCGTTTGTTTTTCGTTTGAAGTTGGTTTCGAATCCCAAAACACTTCTGAAATAGAGAATTCAGCAATGGAAAACGAGAAAAGTGACAATGGATATCGAATCTCTTCAAGCTCAATTAGAGAAAGTCCAAGAAGAACTCAGCCAAAAAGAGACAAAAATAATCAAGCTCAAAGGCTTGCTTACGAAATCAATGCGAAGTGATAAAAGTCGTGAAGCACAAATTACAGCACTTCAACTCGACTTAAGTGATCGTGACAGACATATAGAATCACTCAATAAAGAATTAGAAGAGCATAGGAATTTCTCAAATAAGCAATCTGAGAGAATTAACCAGCTCGAAGGCGAATTAAATGATCTAACTATGAGATTACAGTCAGGAGTCGGCAGTGAAGCAGCTCAAAAGAGAAATGAGAGGATGAAGCAAATGCTTGAGAAATCAAATATGCTTTATGCAGAACTTGAAACGAAATATCATAAAGTTTGCGACGAACTCGAGCAAGAAAAAGCAAAGAACAGAAAGATCTCACGTCCTAAGCATGTAATTATTCTTAAAAAACACGCTGTTACATTAAATGAAGATAATACATATTCTATTGGAGAACCACAGTCAGTTTATCCGAGTGGAGTTACCATAACAGATACTACAAAAGAATCAGCCCCATCTGATAAGCATAATCCATCTTCTTCTGCCCAATCTTCTGATGCTAACGTCCTGAAGATTTATCTGAAAAGAGTTCTTTTAGAATTCTTTATTGGAGACTCACAAACGCAAACCAGATTGATTCCTGTTATACTTTCTCTTCTAGACTGTTCAAATGATCAAGTGATTGCAGCACAGCGCAGTTTCGCAGAAGGAAGACAATTGATTTCAAAGGCAGCTGCTGCTCTTAATATTTAATTGCGTTTTTTACAAAAAAAAAATTGTTATTTCCGATATTTAATTGAATATTTAATGGATTTTACTACAGCCATCATGAATACAGCCTCGAATACTTTTACTTTCTACAGAAAATTACTGAATTGTTTTCAAATTGAAAATGTATTTTTAATTTATTTTTTAATTGTTAATTTTAACATATTCAGTTGCCAATAATTGATGTATTCGGGTATATTTATGATGGATGGTAGTAAAATAAAATCAGAATAAATATTTTGTGTTTTCTTTTCAATTTATCTATGCTTTCGTTTATATTCACTATCATTATGATTTATGCACATGAATGATAAGACTAATTTTCATATTTAGCTTAAATCTCATTCAAAAACTAGATAAATCTATATATGAAAGTAAAACGTCATAAAGAATATGTTCTTATTATGTATGTTTACTTGATTTCATCACCAAACAAGTATTTGCTATACAAATTTTGGAATATCAAAGAGTTGATGAAATAATCAAACTTATCTATTTTGGAAGATCATATAGTACATCGCTTTTATAAAATTTAAGAGTTTTTGCATAAAATATCAATCATAACCATATGTATTTTTTGAAATCATTATAATATTTATTTCTTTAAAAACTTTGGGAGTGTGATAATCTTTGACTCTCCATCGTGAATAATATATGCAGCTCTATTTCCGGAACCTGAGTAATTTTCATTACTGAAGATTGTTATCAAAGAATCATCTCCATATGGTTTTTCAAAACCTTCTGGTATCATTTCATGTGCCCTTATAACTTGTTTCAAATTGTTCTTTTCTAAAAACTTTGCTACTGCAGACTTTCCAAAGATAAACGTTTCTCCACGTGGAGATTTTGAAAAATCTTCATCAATTACAGCTGGATCTGCCCAAGTTAAATCCATAAATATTCCGCTCTCAGGAATCTCGCAGAATCGATCAATCTCATCAATCGAAGAAATGCTCTCAGCATAGGGAGATAGGCCACCATGAACACAGAAAACTTGATCATTCAAAACAGCGCAAATTGGGATCTTATCAAAGCATTCAACAAAATAATCATATACTTTCTTATTCATCTTTGATCTGCACTCTGCCATAAAACCTTGTTTCATTGTTGTGACTCTGCTTTCATGGTTTCCTCTGAGAATGAAAAATCTTTGTGGGTATAAAACTTTCAATGAAAATAAAAGAGATATAACTTCAACAGAATTCTTGCCACGATCTACATAGTCTCCTAGGAATATAAAGGACGTCTCCTTTAGTGGGAATGTTGCTTTGAGAATGCGGATGAGGTCATCTAATTGGCCATGAATGTCGCCAACAATGACTGCCTTTCCGGACACTTTTAATACATTTGGTTCTTCTTTAAATATCTCTGAAGCTGTCTCGCATAGCCACCTGCAAAATGTGCTGTTGATCTTCATCTGCATACATCTAGCAGCATTTGGATTTTGAATTAGGTTGACTAACTCCTTACAAACAGCTAAATTTGCTTCAGACATTTGATGTGAAAAAGTGACTCGATTTTGATAAAATATCTTTTGAATTAAGAAGGTTTATATATTCCTTGTGAAATTTATTGATGAGATTATGAAAGTTTATACAAGATTCGAAAATGAAAAGATCTTATAACATTGTTTGAACATCTTTCACTATGAAAATTATTTTATATTCTTGAAATATGGCATATCTTGGTGTATTAATGTCGCAAAAACAGTTAATAATTGATAAATTTTTCAAAAAACCTGCCAAATTCCAATTTTTCAGATCAAAAATGTTGAGTTTTATGTAATTGTTCCTATGGATGCCCCCTAGAAATTCCAAGAAAATTTTGAAAATAAAAATTTGAAATTTAATTTCTACAAGATAATTTTCATTTTTTAGAAAATTGAAAAAATTTGGAAAAAATAAATATAATCATTTTGATTATATTTTATATATACAAAACAAATTCCCTATAAAATTGGTCAAAACTGCAATAATTAAAATTTCAAAATTTAATCGTGGTGAATTTCAAAAACAAGGATCTTTTTACTATCACAATATAAGTACAAGTACTATTCCTAACATAGTGAAAGAAAATAAATCTTCATATAGAGTGTCACTTTTTATATTATTGGAAACTTCAAAATGGATGTTAAAGCGATGAATATGTTGCTCTTGAAGCCGAATTCTACTATTGAGGCTTCAAAGAAACTAGATTCGACTAGAATCATGGAAATTACTCATCATTTCAATGATTTTGATCCATACGTTCAATCCATCTGGATTCAATCGGTCGCTTTCTTATCCGAAGCGCAATTTGCAGAAATCAAAGATGGGTATCAACAATTACTTCAACAAGCATCAAAATCTACTAATGATTGGGTTTTATCAACTTATGAAATGTTTAAAGATTATCCTCATGTTAATACTTCCGAGAAATTTGAAGTAAATATTCCGCCACGAAATGATGGATATGTAGATCCTTTCATCATCCCTCAATTCACTCCACAACAGAATGTTCATTTTACTACAAAGGCAAAGCTTATGTCACCAAGCGATTACTATGCATTGCAAGATGAAAAAATGAAAAATCAGCAAGCAGCGCAACCTCAGCAGCGTCCAAATCCAATTCCACGTCCAACAGGTCAAATTCTACGTCCAAATATGCCAAAGAAGCCACCACCACAATTTAATCCAGCCAATACCAACGATTTGCTTAGCAGACCAGCTCCAATGGCACCTCCTGAGAAAAAGAAGAAACGCTCAAAGATTGTTGACGATTTCTAATACGCTCAGTAATAGATATAACTTCATATATAATTTTTTATTGTATTTTACTTAAAATAAAATTAAATGTTTGTTATCGAAAAATTAAAGATATTATATCCCGAACAAAATATAAATAACATGATAGAGAGTGTAAACCCAGAGTGAAAGCTAAATCTCTTACTAAATATTATATATTTTTCTCAAAGGGTAAGTAAATATTTAAATATAGTTTGCTATTGGCCTCTAAATAATAGTATATTATAATTTTGATTCCACTCAGACCGGGTCTTATCATCTTTATCAGAAAGTAGCGATGTGGTCATCATTGCGGAATGGTCCGACCAGACTTTCTCAAAATTTACCATTATTCTATTGATCTATGATTTTCATTGGTTATTACATGACTAGTGATTAATGATTATTTCTCAACGGAATTACGAAATATAAGTCAAATTTGTAAATTTGACTCCTAATAACCTCAATTTCACCATTTGGCTCTACTGTAAAACTACAGTTCTTAGATAAATAGAAGAAATGGCAATGTTCTGCGTAGAAATAAGACAATATCTCAAAATTATATTGGAAATTATTCATCAATTTTGTAAAATGATCACATCAACCCCTAACTTACCTGAAATCAACTCATAGATTCTATCATATGTGCTTTAATTGTCATTGTAATGGAATTTAATTGGAATTTTTCCTAAATTGTTTTATGAAAAAACAAAACAAGCTATTTCTAATACTACCTTTTGAACTTCTTATAATTGGCCGAAAAAATTTTTTGGCTGGAAAAAATTTTTTTTTGTCGTCATTATATTGAAATAAAAATTGCCAGGATTGAATAGTTTACACAGATCAACATTTTTAATAGATGCCTCCGAAAACAGACGCAGAGAAAAAGAATCTCCCCGTTGTCAACGATGATAAATCATTGAATTATGCTAACTTCAATCAGCGTAGTACATCTACTGATGTAGACTACATAGTTTTTCTTCTCCAAGATTTGACTAAGAAGATCAATGAAAATCAGTATATCAAGTTCAACGCCGAGCACCATTTTAAGTTATTCTTCACCAGATTACAAGACAGGTTCTCTTTAAAGAACCCAGCCGGCTTAATTGACGATGCAGTCAATTGCTTGACCGCAATGGCCAGATATATTGATATTAACTACTTCGAGCAATTCTGCAACAAAGTATACGAATTCATCCTCTTAGATAACCTCAAAGGCGAAACTGGTCTCATTACATGCAGAAATATCTTTGCCCACTGCAATGAATACGAGAAGGATCGTCTTAAGACCATGTTCAAGGTATTCGGATCAAGCAAAATCGATCAAATCCTTAGTATGCCGTTCGAAACAAATAATAAATATAAATTCCTCCATTTCATCAACAGCTTCGCCGTAGTCGTTGAAACCAAGCCAGAGTTATTCACTGAAGAGGAAATAGAGCAAATTGTCGACAAAGCAACAGCCAGAATCAGTCGTCATACAGATGTCATCCAAATCGTTGAAGGCTTCTTGGGCATCATCAAGAACCTCAGTAAGTTCATCCAGCCTAACACCCTTAACTACATTTTCAACGATTTCGCCAAGAGAGAAGAAAATATCAAGAACTTTTCCACATATTTAGTCCTTTCCTCCCTTATCGAGACAGCACCAACCAAATTGTCCAACTACGTCAAGGATGTCATGGAATTGCTCATCGATTACATTTCTAAGAATTTCGATGGTTTAATGGCCGAAGATCCAGACGCCACGTTGATCGCTAACTCCACAAAGATCCTTAAGTCCATCGCCATCCTTGTCAATACATTCCCAGCAACAACAAAGCAATTCGAAGAAAAATTATACGAATTTGCCATCAACTTCTCTTCCATTCTCTTCGAAACCATCTCCGTTGAAGAGGCCGATGAGTCTGATGAGGAAGATATCGACGACGACGAAATTTTCGGCGATGCAAATCTCGAAGTCACAGCTCTCGATGCCGGATCGAACGAAATGTCATCTAACAAGGGATCCAAGATCAGAGCCGTCAGTTTCGAGCTCTTACAGGCCCTTCTCAATCAAGATAAGTCAAATTATATTTCATACATTGCCGGATCACCAGATATCCTCGAAAATGCCATCATCGATATCGATCCTGTTGTCGAACTCGAAGCCTTCAAGCTCTTACTCCAAACAGAGATGATCATCAACTCCGGAATCCAAGTTCCGAAAGAGTTATCCGACGAATTACCACAAATCCACGAGAACATGTTGAATGCAGTCAGATTCGCTACATCCAACGTCCACTTCGCCAACATTGTTGAAATTTCCGCCAAAATCGTTCCATATCTCCAAGATTTCGACGAAGATTTCGCATTGAAGTTCCTCGATGGTGCTCTCCAGCACTTTGGCGATGAAAGTTCCCGCCAAGTCTGCACTCTCATTGTTGCCATTTCACAGCGTTGTCTCACAGAGAACATTGTCAATGCTATCAGCATCTTTGTTGAGAATGCCGATGAATTCAAGAACTACAGCATTCTTCCAATCATTTCCATGTTCGAGTCTGTTTTGATCATGAAACCGACATACAACGAAGAACTCGCAAGCATCGCAGAGTTCTTGATTTCTAAGGAAGAATCTAAAGAACTCTTTGTCAATTCGATCAACGCATTGGCAATTTTCGCAGTTCTTTACAGCGAAGAAGAAATAACAAAGACAATTGTCGAATTATTTGTCAAATCACTTGGAAACATGTTTGCAATGCTTAGATTGAGTGGTGCATTCACATTAATTGCATCAACAAAGCCAGAACTCCTTCAGCCACATGCAAAACAGTTGTCTGAATTCATCATCAACTGCTTGAAACAGAAATCAGACACAGGTGTTCACATGAGAGGTTTATATGCATTTGAATACTGTGGAAAGATAAATGGCTTCGAAACATCCAAAGTGACAACACAAGCCATCGAATCCATTACAAGTAACGATGCACAGATCAGATCTCTCGCATTGAAGAATGTCTTGAAATACAAGGAAGAATCAATGAACAACGCTATCCATAACTCAATCAAAGAAGCTCTTACAAAACCAAACAACAAGAACTTCTTAGAATCAGCAAGCGAGTTTTACTTCGGCTGCCAGTCACAGAACTATTTCGATGAACTCATCAAATTGGCACCAGCTGATTTACCAGTTGTCATCGGAAAGGCTCTCTCAGAGCAATCGGCTGAGCAGTTCATTGGAAAGGATGATTCCCTTTCAATCAGAATCCTCGGTTACTACGCATTGAAGGCAGATATTTCCAACAACAGCAAACTTGTCGACCATTTATTTGGATTGACAGCACAGAACTCAGAGAACTCAATCGCTGCTTCTTATTCCATTGGTTTGGCTGCTGTTAAATCTGCTTCTATCCTTAACAAACTCATTTCTCAGTCAAAGGATGCAAACACAAGACAGTCAGCACTCACTGCTTTGGCTGCTTTCGCTGAACATGTTTCTGAATCTAAAGTTGATGACAAGTTATTGGAAGAAATCTTCGGATTCTTCAAAGGATTCAATGATAACGACAAGAACGCAAGAACATGCTCACAATCCATCTCTTACATCATTGAAGTTTCTGATGCAATCTTGGAGAAAATCTTCGAATTCCCATCACAAATCACTTTCCACGCTTTGGCTCTTTACTTCCCAAGAATCAAATGCGAGAAGAAGGCATCACAAGTTGTCGAGAAGGCCCTCAAACACATCAATCCAGAGAAGCCTCTCTTGACAGCACACATCCTTTCCGTTTTGGTAGAAAACGCCAAATTGGAAGGCGGCGAAAAAGTCATCATCGACAATTTCGCAAAGATCGAATCATGCGCTAAATTCAACAACTCCCACATCGAAGAACAAACAGTTGGTGACATGCTCTTGAAGATCGATGTCGGCCAGCACATGAGAGCAACAGCTGTTTCGTTACTTACTATTGTTGTTGACAAGGCTGCTGATTACGAGTTCGCAAAGAGATTCACAGACATCACTTGCATGGCACTCGCAGATCCAAAGCCAGATGTATCAATCAAGGCAATCACATTGCTCAAGAGATTGGCTTTCGTCAATGGAATCGCTTTGCAAGAGGCTGAAGACGACAAACCATTCAAGGCTTTGTTGTCCCTCGAGAAGAACTTGATGTCACAGGCTGACCAGAAGGATGTACTCGATCAATCAATTAAGTTGGAAAAGGCACAGATCGAGAACTACGTAATTGACGCAACAGCTGCTTTGGCAATCGCTCACGTCAACTCTCAGGAATTCAAGGAATTCAAGACAAGATTCGATGACAGCGATGAGTTCCAGCAGGCTCTCAACGAAGAGAAGTCCCTCAAGTTACAGTCTGCTGCTAAGGAATCCTCTGCTTTATACAAGTTCATGACAGAGTTCGCTCCAGAAATCGCTTTGATTTTTAAGGATTAAAGAAGAATTTTAAATTATTTTTTGAAACAATAAAAAAATAATATTTTAATTTAATTATTTTAACATACTATTATAAAGACATTAGTGAAAAATAAATCTAATTGATTCTTTTTGGAAAGATATTCAATATCTTTAGCTTAGAATAGAGAGAACATCAAAATTTTTATAACGAATGAAAGTTTATAGATATGTGACATGTTCTCAATGATATGTGGTTGATAAATTTACATTTTTAATGATAATCAATAGGATATGGAACTTACCTTGCGTATTTTACATTAATAAAATCATTGAATCTGGACTAAAACAGATAAACTGATGATCTCTATATTGGATTTGCATTAAATTTCCATTTTTTCTTGTTATGATTTGAAAAAAGTTTTAAATTTAAGGATAGAAGGGATAGAAAAGATTTAATATAATATATAAAACAATAGTATAAATATATGATAGTATAATTAAAGTGATCTGTTAATTGATTTTTTCTTAGTTGAAGTAAGTCTTCTTGTGTGGGATTTCAGCGTTAGCAAGAAGCTTTCCACCGAATGGAGCGCAGAATGGGCAGCTGCCATCTTCAGATAAGTGGACAGAGAGTCTTACAGAAGCTGGAACTGACTGGTTTCTTGGGCTCAATAACTTGAACTCTTGAGAAACAACTGTATTTGGCTCGAAGGCAGAAAGCTTTAATTCGACTTCACCAATCTCTTCATCGCCACCGAACATGTGCTTCTTTGAGATGAGAAGTACGAATGAGGCCTTTGATGGATCATTGTACTTGAATTCCCATGTCTTGCTTGGGAAACCCTTTTCTGTGAACTCGGCTGCGCGGTTCATGAAGCTATTTCTTGGACCAACTCTTGCAACTAATGTTGTCTTACCACTGGTCTTGAAACTACCTGTATTGACACCATCTACACGGATATAAGCACGGTTGCCATTCATAAGAGGCATGTACTCGAAGTTGCTGGACATCTTGATGAAAAATGATGACCTACCGAACTCTGAAAATTTGAGAGAGCTGACCATTATTAATTGAGAGGTAATTAGGTCATCAATTCTGAGCAAATAACAGGAACAAAGTAATAAATAATATACATATAATTTACATTATCTTTTAAATGAAAATCTGAAAAATTTATAACCGCAAAATTTTACTCAAAAAAATTATGAGTGTTTTTTGAGAGAACTCAGTCAATTTTTTTAACATTAAGAAACATCATATATTCCAATTATATATTAGATTAAGGATGTCAATTTGGAAGAAAAGTGAGAAAATTCCTAAAATGCTAAAAATGAATTTCCAAACGTATTTTTTGATCTCATTTTTTTGATTTTGAAAAAAATTTGGAGAGAAGATCTCTTCGTTTTTGAATTCTATCACGATGGTTTTAAAGTATATTAGACACATGTATTGATATTACTATTTTTGTATATTTTGAGATAAAATCCCCAAAAAGTAAGAAAATCTAAGACGGTTTGAGAAAATATATAAACTATTGAAAATTTGAATTAAACTTCTAATTTGGAAAAAAGAAATTCAGAAAGAAGAAAATTCAAAAATCGAGATTTAGACTCAGCATCAAATGGAGAACAAAATGTTTCTTCATATGAAGGAAAAAAATTTTCTTGAGAAGAAATAGAGTTTTTAAAATTTTATTGTACGTAATGAAATAAACAAATATTACAATTATTTTTTGATAACAAGAAAATTCCCAACAGAAAATATTTGAGACAAAGAAAAAAAGAAAATTGAAAAATATTACTCTTCTTTATATTTCATGAGATTTTCAATTTATTTTCATAAAATTGACAATTTTATACGTTTAGATGAAAATAAGTGATTTTGCTTGAAATAAAAGTTATTGTTTGCTTACAGCTATCAAATAGATTTTTGCTATTTTGATTAAAATTTGTTAATCAAATTAATAAATTTTTTCTAAATATCTTAAATATCTGGATCACTCACATATACAATGAATTGAACAATAAAAATAATACAAACTCAAATAAGTTTCATGTTTTTCAACTAAAAAAAATTATGCAAATTAAATTAAATTAAATTGTTTATTCAAATATCAAACAAAGATGAAGTAATTACAGTTATCATAAACTTTATGAATAACTCTGTAATTGGTTCAGATTTTCGTAAAAATATTTTTATTAATATCGATAAGAATACGTTTACCTACTATCACAACATATCGATAAACAAGAGTAGAGTGATTTTTATCATCGAAACTTTTTAAAAGCTGTAAGCTGGAAGTAAAAATCTTGTTTTTTCTGAGTTAGTTGTAGAACTATTGATGTACGAGTTATCATTGTGATGTAGAAGGATGTCAATGTACTGACTGAAGGATATGAAGTGAATTGAATTTCATTGAATTTCAATTTGATCAAAATTTGTTGAAATGATATGAATGTGTCAACATCTGTATCACTCTCTTTCACTCCTTCCCTATTCTTTCGAGAACGAAGCTAGCTCAGCTTTCGCTGAGCGAATTGACACTTTTGATGCCCTAAACGTACATATTCTCAAATTTATCGAAAAATTATACCACCCAAACTAGTATATTCTTATTTTAAATATGATATTATCCTTAGAAATCACACTAGAATATATTTAAATCAACTTTTAAAAAAGTTCGAATCCTGCGCATCTCACTTTTTAAATTTTCCAAAAGGAAACTTATATTCTCCTAAAATGAAAACAATTTTCCGAATTGACATCCTTAATTAGATATAAAGCTATTTTTAAAATTTTAATCCGCATCGTTAATCTCTCTCAAAAGTCGGTAAATCACGAGTTTCTTTATGAAATTTATGAATTCAGAACATCAAAACATTTTATTTATACTTAAATTAATAAGACACTGTCACTTACTCTTGTAATTTATCAGACGTTCCAAATTTGATAAATTAAATAATATTTGGCATTGAGAAATGATGAATTAATATGAAAAATAGGATCAAAATTAAAATATATAATATTTAACCCAAGGATGCAATGAATTCAACATTTTGAAAATTTGAATTTCGAATTAGAAAAGGTTTAACCTTGTTAAATCAAGAAAACGATCTAACGTTATGACAATGAAGCCAACAAAAGAAATAATATTATCATTTTGTCTCCTAGACAATTCCAATATTTGTTCTCATTTGGAAAACTCTTATTCCATTATATGGGAGATTTACAAGCTGAACAATAATGTCAAGTTATCCCATTTCACGTTTTTCATTGTGCGAAAAACGAAACATTTGGTAATCTTCATGAGATATGAAACCAGCGCTGAGATAAATAGCATCGTATTATATTGGAAAGTTCTACTATAACAAAATATATCCAGATCTGTTCAATAGATATTAGCATGCTAGAAGGCTAACGTTTTGATAATAAACATTTAAATATATGAAATTATTGCTATTATTATGCACAGATAGTATATATATCGAATAGAGAGCTATGTTTCGCATTTCCCGACCCTCTAGCAACAAAATCGAATTAAAATTTTATGAATATGAACCTATTTAGCGAATTGCTGAAAGTACAGATTATCCATCATAATTTATTAATAATTCCATGATCAAACATGAAAAATACAATTTCCGCGATCGTATGAATTTTGACATCAGTTGAAAAAATTATGGAAGAATTAGATTATACAGCAGTTCATTGGGAGAACTGTGCATCCGTTAAAGGAATGGAGAAAAAGTATCAAGATTCAGTTATCTTAACAATTTCAACGGCTCGTTCTGGTTATTTTTTACGATTAGTTACATTATACAGTTTTCCGTTGAATATGAAGGAAAACACGCCGCATCCTTATGAAATTGCTCATAAAGAAACAGATGTTCTCTGGCATACATATCCAGTACAGATAATTCAAATTATAACTTCATGTATTGGCAATATGATGGGCGATCCAGATAAATACATTCCATGTATCATTTCTTACTTTACGAATGATCCCTATTCATCCCAGTTATTTGGCTATTTAACGTTTCCTTCTCTTTGTTTTTATTTTATGACTCCAGAATTCGTTGAAATCGGTGCAAACATCATATTTTCGACACTCAAGTACACAGATGGACCACTTGTCATGCACATGTGCGCCTCTTTGTACGATTCTATCTCGAATTTTAACAATATTTTGTGGGATCATTTTAACTACTCTATTACGCCAGAAAAATCCGTTATTGCTGTCTTTACTGACTCAATAAAGGAAGGCTTCTCAGTTTTAACCCAAAAACATCAAGAATTTACCAAAAATTTAATTTCGAATTTTCCTCTATTTGCAATCAAATTTTTCACGTTCTACTTCTCCTCACAGTCCAAAGCCTACAATACATTCAAACACAACAACAAAACTCAATCTCCAATGGAAGAATTGATGGAAATTTTGAATTTCGCAGCAAGTAATCCAGAATCTGCCATAGCAAAAGTAATTTTGAGCTCATTCCACTCAGACACGTTTACTTCTCCATTTTTATCTTTTTCAGATATGAATTTACAGACAACATCCTCGATTCTATCACCTCTCGAGACTAATACATTATTCCATGCATTTCTCAGCGGCGAAATGATAAAAAAAGGAAGCAAAGTCGCTTCATTAAAATGCAAACCAGAATATGCGAACAGTTTGTTCCCAGGCAGCATTATTTTCTCTTACAAAAAATTTTTGTCCCTCAACAGATCCAAATTCATGCCTCTTGTCTACGAACCAGAACCGGAAATTGTAATTGAGAAAAATCCAGACTTCAAGAGAGATTACGAGCACATTATTCTTCTTGCTTCAAATAATGGACTCAAACCTCTCGAAGTTATTAACAATCCTCTAACTCCGGCCGTATTAGATACATTAAATCACGTAAAAAGCATGAAAACGGAAGGATTCATCGATTACGTGTATAAGAAACAGAAGAAGATAATTAATAAGGCCCAGTCCAACTTCGAAAGCTTCTTTGAGTGGCTTTCAACAGATATCGGACTTAAAAGGTGCCAAATGATCTTTTCCTTGGACCTTAACAGGATGGAAATCATTCTATCGCAGATGGACGTCAGCAAGAAGTTCCCAGATCCTTCTAAAATCCCTCTCCACACAATCGCGCAAAAAGATATCGCATTTATCAACACTCTTAAATCGGTTTACGATACTAATTTAAACAGCCCATATGTATATCTTTGCGCTCTAAATCTCTCCAATATCTACCCGAAAGACGAATTAATTCCCGAAATGAACGATTCTTACATTTCTAAGTTCATTCAGTCCGAGCGATTGCGAATAATGCTGGAAAAGAACACAAGTAACCAGCATTACTACGAAATCGCCCACAAAATTAGTGAAGATGCAAATCTTCCAATCGGAGAAAGGATTTTGAAGATCACAGATGCTTTCATACAGTTAAATAACTTGATGGGAGCGGATAAATCAACAAAATTCGCTTCAATTGCAGTTGATATCCTGATAATGAGTGGAAGAGAGGATTTCTTCACTGATATAATGTACCTGGAGAACATCGCATCCAAGTTTTACGCTGCTGCTGAAAACCACAACCCTCAGGCAAGGTTTTTGTGGACTGTGACGTTTTCTGAGTTAGTTAAGAGACTTTCTCAGGCAAATTCGTCTTTCCAGTCAGGAGAAAATGTATACAAGTTCTTGATAAAGAAATTATGATTTTTTTTTGTTTAGATATCAAATTTTAAAAAATTGTTTTAAATTTTTTATATTAAATATTTCATAATTAGTTAATAAACTTATTGATACATAAAATAAGTAATTTTTAAATGAAACAAATTTGAAAATATTCCAAATCTAATTGTTATATCCATCTATTGTAGCTTGATAGGAACAATAGCAGATGTTAAATTAATCATAGGATGTTAACCATTAAGTGTGTTGCATTTTTTCTTCAATTGACTTGGATTTAACGGAAAACTAAAAATCCTTCTTCCTTCGCAATCAATAACATATATTTCCAGTAGGAATTATGAAAAGAGATAAGTTTTACATATCAATGTTTAAAATGTGAATTTCAAAATTTCAAAGTTGAAAAACAATGGAATTCATAAAATATCAAACAAATTTACATATATACAAAAACAATATAATAATTCTATTGACCTGTTAGCTCTTCAAATATATAATCTTTGTCACATTCAGTGACAACATGAGTAACTAACAAATCAACTAAATTCTCCATAAGTAATAATTCTCTATTGCTTTTCTCAGGAGTCATTGGATTCTTAGATCCTTCTGCAAGCATATCGAGCATAAATTGGAAATAATCCAACAATCTTCGGTATTCATTAAACATCACTGGAACGGGAGAATTCGTCTTGAAAATGTTATCAACTCTCTTTACTGCCTGTTTTAATTCCGCGTGTAACCATGTATCAAATGTTCCCAATGGTCTCAGGAATCCTTCGAACCATCTTCCAAATCTTATCCATCTCTTGAACAAGTCACTTCTTTTCAGTTCAGTAACAGGAGTATTATGAAGCAAAGTAACAGGAGCTTCGATGGAATAGAAGTGGAATCCCATCGAATCCATGGCCGTTAACAATGATTCTAAAGTTAAATCACCTTTAGAAACCATCGTTGCCTCTCTATATAATTCGAAAACTGTTTGAGAATCACCTTGATAACCAAGAGATTTAACTAAAGCAACAAAGTTTTCGAAACCAATTTTGATGTTTCCTTGCATGTATCTCTTTGATTGGAACATCAATCTCACTGCATTTCTGCGCTTCCTTCTTTCTCTTTCATAGAATTCAAGTAAAATTACCATGAATTCTGCGTAATCAATTCTGTTCTCATTATTCGCTTGTTTCTCAGCTTTCTCAAGTACAGATTGCGCAACATGGGAGTATTGTCCGACGACTGAATTCATCATGTTTTTGATTTCACTGATATCCACCATGATTTTCTTCGGACTTTGGCTGTCGATAACAGGAAGACCCAACAAAAGGTATCTGCATCTTAAGAAGAAAGTCAACTCATCGCAAGTGTATTCTTCAAGTGCAAATGCTTTGAATAGTTTCATCTCGTTGTATTTCTCGTCTGAAACGCATCTCCATAATCGAGCAGCATTTGTTAAAGCGACAAAAAGAGATTCGTCATTTCTGCTGAAAAAGGATATGATGAATTCAGGGAATCTTTGAACTTGTCCGCCAGTTCGCTTCATCCATTCGTCTTGAAGATACTTGGCTTGGAAGATCTGGCGAATGATTTGGAACGGATTATAATCAGATGACTGAGTATTTGGCAAAGGAACATCAATGTGAGGTGCAATGTACTGAAGGAAGCGAGGATTCTGGTTTATATCGGAAGCAAAGTCATTTTCAGCGTGAATATCAACACTACCAAGACTCTCCGTGGTTTGGAGAACATCAATGACGCATTTTTCAACAGCTTGAATCATTAAACTTGAATTTCCGGAAAGAAGGACCTTATCGATATCGTCTGTGTATTGCTGTTGAGTAGGAATATTTACATTGGAGCGTTGAAGAATATCTGTGATTTTATCATATATCTGATTTAATTTTTGAAGGACACTGATATATGGAGTGGAATCTACTAACATATTACGCTTGTTCTTTTTATCTCCATCTTCTTCTTCGCCAAATTGTTGAATTTCAAGCTGACGTTCGAGTCGACCTTTTGATGCCAACGCATTTTGAAGTTTTCTACGAAGCTCCCCATTTGCTTGATCAACATTTGTTTTTTGGGCTTGTAAATCTAGTATTTGCTTCTTATGTTTGTCAATTTTCTCATTTAATTTTTGAATTTCTGTTTCTTTATGACGTAATTTCTTTTCTGTATTAGCAAGTTTCTGTTTAAGGTCTTCTAGAGTAATATAAACCGAGTCGCTTTGGAAATCTAAGAAAACACGATGTAATGCTTTTACATGTTCTTCTAATTGAGATTTTTGCTCAAGAAAACGCTTCATTGATAGATCGTATTCTTGTTTACGAAGTTCCATCTCCTCATCTTTTGCTTTAAGTTGTCTTTCACATTCAAATTGAATTTCGTTAACTCTTTCAGATGAAGTATCGATTACTTTAGTTAACTCAGCTTCTAATTGAACGTTATGGTTTTTGAGCTTATCCATCTCATCTCTATTTTTGTTAATTTCTTTTCTAAGTAATAAAAAAACTTCTGCATAAGACTCACGTGATTTCTCGACTATTAGGACTTGCTCTCTACACTCAGCACGCAACATGCATGCCAATTGCTCTAGTAGTAAATCTGTAATATTTTGCATTGCAGCAGCAGTTTTTGTATCATCGACACCAGTTAATGACTTTATGGCAGATTCAAAGTTGTTTAACACTTCAATTATTTCTTCTCGACTGGCGTAATGGTCTGGAACATCAGGATCTGTGTGAGTCCATGTTGAATCTTTGAATTTTATAGAGTATAATCCTTCTTTAATTCGTTTTCCAGATGAGGTTTGCGGTGCACGACGACTTGGTGATGTTTGTTGTTGTGATTTTGTTGCGGTTTGCCTAAATTTATAAGATTCTGTTTCAAAAGGCATTGATGGAGTTTCAATTAGAACCCTATTCGATTTTTTGGTTTGAATACCTTCAATTGGCGTTTCTCTTCCTTTCAGCGAAGCAGTAGTGACCAAGCTAGGATCATTCCCTTCAGTCATTTAACGTTCACTATTCAAATTTTCTTTTATCTAGGGGCGCTACGCACCTATAAATCTTTAAAAATTAATTGATTTATTTCTATCGGCGCGCTAGTTTCAAAAAGCATTGTAACGTTAGTAAAAAAAGTCCATACCATATCAATAAGTCTATACCACGGGGTCCTTTTGAACATTTATAATTGGTTGATGAACATTTATGTTTCAAAGGTTAAAAAGTATCATTACAGTTTATAAACAGTCCAGTATTTCAAAGTTTTTTATTAGATTATTGCTTTTTATGATCACTTATGATATCTTCACACTTTAGAATTTTTTAATAGCGCTATCTATCGGCGCACTGCTACGCTGCGCGCCGATATAGGCTGAGAAATCACGATAGGGGAGGTTTGGTTTTTATAATTTTTCATGTGTGATCAAGACATTGAACGAATTAAATACAATGAATTGAGAAGTACATACAAATGTTATATTGACTTGCGCGTAACTTTGTACAGGTTAAAAATGGACAATGAAAAAGAATTAATCTCAATTTACAATTTGATCAAATCAGAATTGATTGATTCAAAGATGTATCTTCCTCATAATATTGTGAAGGATATTTTGAATATGATTCAATATAACAATCGTTATATAAAGTCATATTTGACTCTTGCCAAATTCTTAACTGATGAATATCATGTAACTGAGGTCACAAATATTTCAAATATATCCAACTTCTTGTTTTATAAAGAATATGGAATTAAATTAGACAACTCTCAAGATTTCGGAGAGCTTCAATCAGAAAATCTTGATATACATGCAGAAAATACAATTTATAGAGTAATTATGGATAACAACATTGATAAATTCATCGACTTTACAAGATTAGATGATTTTGATCAAGATCAATTACTTAGAACAAAATTATACCCATACTATTACGATGGGTTATCATTACTTGAATTATGCTGTTACCACGGAGCAGCTGATTGTTTCAAGTTATTAAGGTCAAAATTTAACTCCAAAATAACCCAAACATGTCTTCGTTATTCATTTTTTGGTGGAAATGCAGAGATCATGAGTGAATGTTTGAAACATCAAAAACCAGATGACAAATGCATGGAATTTGCAATCATTGCACATAACATTGATTTTGTTTCATTCTTGATGAATGAATGCGATATAAAGATCAATTTATCTAATTGCGCAAAATTTAATAATCTTGATGCATTTTTAATTTATTTCGATCAAACTAATGACATTAACAAATGCCTTGTTTATTCGACAATGTTTGCTATTCCATCTCTTTGTGAATATTTCATTTCACTTGGAGCAAATATCAACGAAAAAGATGAATTGGGAAAAACAGCTCTTCATAATTCTGCAGATAATAATAGTATAAAACTCATGGAATTGTTTATCTCACATGGTGCAAATGTCAATGAAGTAGATAATACCGGCAAAACAGTTCTTCATTATGCAGCATGGAAGAATAGAAAAGAAGCAACAGAGCTTCTTCTTTCACATGGTGCAAATGTCAATGTTAAAGACCAATATGAAGAAACTCCTCTTCATTATGCGGCACAGAAAAATAACAAAGAGATAGTTCAGCTTCTTCTTTCACATAGTGCACAAGTTAATGCATCAAATGCCATGGATGGAAGCGCACTTCATTACGCAATAGGTAATAATTGCTTTGAAACTGCCGAACTTCTTATTTCATATGGCACAGATATTAATAAAAGATAGGGAGGGAAGAACAGCTCTTCATAATGCAGCAATACAGGGAAATAAAAGAGTAGCCGATTTTCTTATTTCACATGGTGCCCTTATTAATGAAACAGAGAATCATGGAAAAACAGCTCTTAATTTAGCATTAGAGTATAAACGTGAAGAAATAGTCGAACTTCTTCGTTCACACAATTCTACTAACAATTCTTGATCTAAATTTTCCTTAGTAAACACACGACATTTAAATTTTGCCAACTTTTTCAACTTTTTTTTAATGTTAAATTGAGATTTTTCAGATAGAAAATAAATTGAAATGAGCCAGCAAAATGATATAAGGAATTTGCCAATTTTATAAGGACTTCAAATGATATTCCAGTGACATTAAAATTAAATATAATGCTGATAATAAAATTTCAAAAATAATACCATTTAAATATATTAAATGGGATAATATTTTGTTTGGTATTGCTTTTATATAAAATAAATGGAAATTCTGCTTCACATTTTCCTAATGAAAGAAGTGAAAGCTTTAAATTAAAAGAATTAGTCATCATTTTATTTGTATTAATTGTACCATCATAACTATTTGCAGATAAGTCATCTCCAGTGCAATTTATTACTGTTAAAATTCCCTGCGTGCCTGCACCAAAAGTATGATTCGCTTTGTTTTTGATGAAAATGCATTCAGAAACAATAATATTTGATGAATCAGAATAAAGAAGGCCTCAATTTGAAATATTAGTTTCACATGAGTTGTTTTTGAATATAGATTTTTTGATATTTGAATCCTTTGTTTGCATATGTTTCATGCATACATAGTTTGATTCATGATTGTCATTAGAGTTGAAACAGCAAAAATTAATCTTAACTGGACTATAATGAAAACTATAACCAGCCCATTTTTGACATCTTGTTTTAGTGATATTTGTAGAAATAAGAGTTTGTGATCCATATTGATGGAATATACTGGAACTTCCGGTGTTATCATGTCCACATTGAAAGATGGAACTAAAATTTATTGAATTTTTGTTTGAATCTATTTGGACATTTACATAAGAATATAATCCAATATCTTTTGTGTAAGATTTTATAGCACAAAATCTGTCTTGAATAATGGAGCTTTTACCCAAAAAGGAGATGCAACCACCCTCTCCTGAATTTCGATTGATATTAGTATATGTACATATTGAATGTAGTAATTTTATAGAATCAATGCTGCAATTAATGATATTGTCCGAAAAATCTTTAAAATTCGTTAAAAATTAAAAAGAAGTTTTTTGAAATTGTAGGCTTTGTATTGTTTGTGATATTTGTACATTTTTTCTGCTGGATATCCATAGTATTCTTGCCATATGCCACGTGGAATTCCTTCATTGTTGAAACTGAGTTTATTTTGAAAGATTCCTCTGAAAAAAAAATTCATAGGTACAACGGCATTTTTAATCGGACTGGTGTCTTTTACTGGTAGAATCATATAATTGATAACCGAGCCACTATCAATCAAAAGCATGACAAACATTCCTTTTCATTCTCAAAATCTCGAAATTTTATATATGGTTTGATCCAAATATAAAATTTGTATTATTTTTTAGATGTTTTCAATTGAATTATACAAATAAAACGGTTCGATCTAAATCTATTTGAGTCACCGCCTCCGCACATTATTTTACAGTTTGTATCAACGATATTTCTAATGTAGAAGGTAAAAAAATATTATGCCTGAACCAGTTGGATCTCCCATCTGTATGCAGGAATTTCTTTCGACACGAAAGATTCTTGTGTTGTCGTAATATCCTCGCTTCGAATGAGTCACGAAGTTTTCAACTGTCAAAGGACATTCTTCAGGAAACATCTCGAATTTAATGTCTCCCATCATTGTATGCAAAGTCGCAACGCGTGGCAATGATGATGCCAATACACGTGGTACTTTTGTGACTGCTTTTCAATTCTCGATTTTAAAGTTTCGTTAAAATCAAGCTAATCATTGAAAACAATGACAAATTTTCATATTTCTTTGGACCATCTCATTATAATTAGTATTTACAGAAGATTAAAAAATTCATTTGCATTTTTTTTCAATTCAAAATAAAAATCATAATTTTATTGAAAAAGTGCATAACATATGGCGTCATACTTGTAACACTCAAATTAAAATTGAATGTGTGGAATTTTTTGTCAACATATGAATTGTTTCTTCATATATTTTCTAACAATATAATTACCATATTAGTTTTGAATAAATGGTATTTTTTGCCATTTCAACCACAAGATAAATACCCTACTTTTCCAACATTTAGAAAACATGCATGACCCAGGGTCCAAAAATTGGTATTTTCTGCGCTCAGGCAACATGAGTTTTTGGGCCGCCAAATGAATAGCTCAAATAGTTTCCTCATATAGAGACATGCTTATGCTTAGAGTTTGAAGGGAATCTAAAGTGATTTTTTTCTGCATTTCGAAATCTAATGCAATCTTAAAATCATGATTAAACTGCGAATCTGGGCGCAATTTTTTAATATGTTAATATATGAAGGTACTCCTACTACTGCGAATGCTTCAAATGAAAATTCAAGAAATCAGATTAATTTGATCACATTAGTATAGTAGTGGTCAATCCAAAAACTCATATGTTGATATATAACCTATAGAGATGATAATTATCGACTCTTCATTGAAATGCATAAGATTTAATAATCTCATAAATATTCTTTTTAATTTTCAGTATTTCGTGTGCATTTAGATTGCATATACATGTATATGATATTTCTAGAATGTTTTGGTTAGATATTAAGTTTTTTAGATTAATATTTTAACATTTTGATAAAACAAGCAATTGTTCCATTTTGGAATCGCAATTGAACTCTAGTTTGACTAATATGATGTTGTATGATCAAATAAATTCTAACTTCATGAGATAAATTTTGAAATTAGAAAATGCGATATCTGACTCAAATATTTATCTGAGCACATTTAACATTCAATTATAAACTAAAGTAATATACAACAGATTCGATTTGGCTTATATTTTAAATATTCAACAAATAATCTTATAAAATTGTGCTATTCACGTTTCTCAAAGATGAATTAAGCATTTACAACTTGTGCATTGATGGAATTAGATATGGATTCTAATGTTAATCGATATTTTGTAAATTGATATATATTTTATCATGGTTTGACATTTGATCGTGTTGAAACCGGAATTGCAATATGCATCATCTATATATATAATTGTCAAAATATGAGCTATAGATTTTTAAATTATGCTCCTGATTATGAGTGACTTATATGATTATATTGAATTGAGTAGTAAGAATCATAAATATTAGAATATTACGATAATGTATTATAACCTTATAGAAGCTTAAGGCTAAAAATGATGATGAAAATGTAGCTCAAATTTAAGTCTAAAATTTGAAAAAATTAAGTGCTTATGATAGTATGACGATATTGGTGTTTGAATGTAAGAAATTAGAGATGTATTAGAAGCATTATGAGAAAATAATAAGATATAAAAACAAATTTTATGAAATAATTTAAGTTATAAGAGGTGTTAACATTGGTAATGTGTGAATAAGATAGTAGAATTGTATTGGATCTTTGATTAGTATTTTATAACAATTTATTAATGTAGATGTGATTAGAATGTTGGATTTCAAAGGAGAAAGCGGATTGTTCACTCTTGTTGGTCTGCATGTGTCATTCCGGGAGACATTGCCTGTGCATGTCTCCCAGAATGGCATACTGTTCCGCATTCATAACTTGAATGCGGAACTTTGACCGACAAGAGTGCATTGTGCACTCTTGTTGGTCTGCATGTGTCATTCCGGGAGACATTGCCTGTGCATGTCTCCCAGAACGAGACAATTTATTGCAATCAGAATACGATTGCAAAACTTTGACCGACAAGAGTGCATTGTGCACTCTTGTTTGTCATCCACTATGATACTTAGAGAAAATACTTTACTTACATTATTTAAAATATTAATTTCCCTATTTAATATTTATTTATTATTTTTTGTGCTTTATATTCCCTATGGCATGTACTGAACTATTTTATAGACTCTACCGAGCTATCTCCACATATAAACATTTGACAATAACACATATATACTCTCTTCATATTCTAGTCTCATGACATATTATTGCAAAAGCTATATTTATACAGCATACCTCATAAAGTCTCATTATATCCCTATCTAAGCGTTCAAAACCTATTTTCCCCACGTAATCTGATTCTTCAGGCTCCGCTGATTCGATTTCTGCTGTCAGATCGTGAAAATATGAATCACATAACAAGATAAACACAAGTTACCCAACTTGATATTTTCCGTAAAAAAACAACATCATTTTAGAAAAATTCAATTTTTTCCAAAAGTGTGTGAATTCAAAAAGTCACAATATATCTAGTTATTACCCAGTATTAATTTTTTAATTTAGTTTTTGAGATATTCATTTTATAATACGTATTATTCAGAAAATTAAATACATTTGTAAGGGAAAACGGAATTAATAACAAATATATGAATATCGTGGAAGAGTCAATTTGAAGAAAACATTATTATTTTGGATTTGTGTTTATCTTGTTATGTGATTCATATTTTCACGATCTGACAGCAGAAATCGAATCAGCGGAGCCTGAAGAATCAGATTACGTGGGGAAAATAGGTTTTGAACGCTTAGATAGGGATATAATGAGACTTTATGAGGTATGCTGTATAAATATAGCTTTTGCAATAATATGTCATGAGACTAGAATATGAAGAGAGTATATATGTGTTATTGTCAAATGTTTATATGTGGAGATAGCTCGGTAGAGTCTATAAAATAGTTCAGTACATGCCATAGGGAATATAAAGCACAAAAAATAATAAATAAATATTAAATAGGGAAATTAATATTTTAAATAATGTAAGTAAAGTATTTTCTCTAAGTATCATAGTGGATGACAAACAAGAGTGCACAATGCACTCTTGTCGGTCAAAGTTTTGCAATCGTATTCTGATTGCAATAAATTGTCTCGTTCTGGGAGACATGCACAGGCAATGTCTCCCGGAATGACACATGCAGACCAACAAGAGTGCACAATGCACTCTTGTCGGTCAAAGTTCCGCATTCAAGTTATGAATGCGGAACAGTATGCCATTCTGGGAGACATGCACAGGCAATGTCTCCCGGAATGACACATGCAGACCAACAAGAGTGCACAATGCACTCTTGTCGGTCAAAGTTCCGCATTCAAGTTATGAATGCGGAACAGTATCCATTCTGGGAGACATGCACAGGCAATGTCTCCCGGAATGACACATGCAGACCAACAAGAGTGCACAATGCACTCTTGTCGGTCAAAGTTCCGCATTCAAGTTATGAATGCGGAACAGTATGCCATTCTGGGAGACATGCACAGGCAATGTCTCCCGGAATGACACATGCAGACCAACAAGAGTGCACAATGCACTCTTGTCGGTCAAAGTTCCGCATTCAAGTTATGAATGCGGAACAGTATGCCATTCTGGGAGACATGCACAGGCAATGTCTCCCGGAATGACACATGCAGACCAACAAGAGTGCACAATGCACTCTTGTCGGTCAAAGTTCCGCATTCAAGTTATGAATGCGGAACAGTATGCCATTCTGGGAGACATGCACAGGCAATGTCTCCCGGAATGACACATGCAGACCAACAAGAGTGCACAATGCACTCTTGTCGGTCAAAGTTCCGCATTCAAGTTATGAATGCGGAACAGTATGCCATTCTGGGAGACATGCACAGGCAATGTCTCCCGGAATGACACATGCAGACCAACAAGAGTGCACAATGCACTCTTGTCGGTCAAAGTTCCGCATTCAAGTTATGAATGCGGAACAGTATGCCATTCTGGGAGACATGCACAGGCAATGTCTCCCGGAATGACACATGCAGACCAACAAGAGTGCACAATGCACTCTTGTCGGTCAAAGTTCCGCATTCAAGTTATGAATGCGGAACAGTATGCCATTCTGGGAGACATGCACAGGCAATGTCTCCCGGAATGACACATGCAGACCAACAAGAGTGCACAATGCACTCTTGTCGGTCAAAGTTCCGCATTCAAGTTATGAATGCGGAACAGTATGCCATTCTGGGAGACATGCACAGGCAATGTCTCCCGGAATGACACATGCAGACCAACAAGAGTGCACAATGCACTCTTGTCGGTCAAAGTTCCGCATTCAAGTTATGAATGCGGAACAGTATGCCATTCTGGGAGACATGCACAGGCAATGTCTCCCGGAATGACACATGCAGACCAACAAGAGTGCACAATGCACTCTTGTCGGTCAAAGTTCCGCATTCAAGTTATGAATGCGGAACAGTATGCCATTCTGGGAGACATGCACAGGCAATGTCTCCCGGAATGACACACGCAGACCAACAAGAGTGCACAATGCACTCTTGTCGGTCAAAGTTTTGCAATCGTATTCTGATTGCAATAAATTGTCTCGTTCTGGGAGACATGCACAGGCAATGTCTCCCGGAATGACACATGCAGACCAACAAGAGTGCACAATGCACTCTTGTCGGTCAAAGTTCCGCATTCAAGTTATGAATGCGGAACAGTATGCCATTCTGGGAGACATGCACAGGCAATGTCTCCCGGAATGACACATGCAGACCAACAAGAGTGCACAATGCACTCTTGTCGGTCAAAGTTCCGCATTCAAGTTATGAATGCGGAACAGTATGCCATTCTGGGAGACATGCACAGGCAATGTCTCCCGGAATGACACATGCAGACCAACAAGAGTGCACAATGCACTCTTGTCGGTCAAAGTTCCGCATTCAAGTTATGAATGCGGAACAGTATGCCATTCTGGGAGACATGCACAGGCAATGTCTCCCGGAATGACACATGCAGACCAACAAGAGTGCACAATGCACTCTTGTCGGTCAAAGTTCCGCATTCAAGTTATGAATGCGGAACAGTATGCCATTCTGGGAGACATGCACAGGCAATGTCTCCCGGAATGACACATGCAGACCAACAAGAGTGCACAATGCACTCTTGTCGGTCAAAGTTCCGCATTCAAGTTATGAATGCGGAACAGTATGCCATTCTGGGAGACATGCACAGGCAATGTCTCCCGGAATGACACATGCAGACCAACAAGAGTGCACAATGCACTCTTGTCGGTCAAAGTTTTGCAATCGTATTCTGATTGCAATAAATTGTTTCATTCTGGGAGACATGCACAGGCAATGTCTCCCGGAATGACACATGCAGACCAACAAGAGTGCACAATGCACTCTTGTCGGTCAAAGTTTTGCAATCGTATTCTGATTGCAATAAATTGTCTCGTTCTGGGAGACATGCACAGGCAATGTCTCCCGGAATGACACATGCAGACCAACAAGAGTGCACAATGCACTCTTGTCGGTCAAAGTTCCGCATTCAAGTTATGAATGCGGAACAGTATGCCATTCTGGGAGACATGCACAGGCAATGTCTCCCGGAATGACACATGCAGACCAACAAGAGTGCACAATGCACTCTTGTCGGTCAAAGTTCCGCATTCAAGTATGAATGCGGAACAGTATGCCATTCTGGGAGACATGCACAGGCAATGTCTCCCGGAATGACACATGCAGACCAACAAGAGTGCACAATGCACTCTTGTCGGTCAAAGTTCCGCATTCAAGTTATGAATGCGGAACAGTATGCCATTCTGGGAGACATGCACAGGCAATGTCTCCCGGAATGACACATGCAGACCAACAAGAGTGCACAATGCACTCTTGTCGGTCAAAGTTTTGCAATCGTATTCTGATTGCAATAAATTGTTCATTCTGGGAGACATGCACAGGCAATGTCTCCCGGAATGACACATGCAGACCAACAAGAGTGCACAATGCACTCTTGTCGGTCAAAGTTTTGCAATCGTATTTGATGCAATAAATTGCTCATTCTGGGAGACATGCACAGGCAATGTCTCCCGGAATGACACATGCAGACCAACAAGAGTGCACAATGCACTCTTGTCGGTCAAAGTTCCGCATTCAAGTATGATGCAATAAATTGCCATTCTGGGAGACATGCACAGGCAATGTCTCCCGGAATGACACATGCAGACCAACAAGAGTGCACAATGCACTCTTGTCGGTCAAAGTTTTGCAATCGTATTCTGAATTGCAATAAATTGCATTCTGGGAGACATGCACAGGCAATGTCTCCCGGAATGACACATGCAGACCAACAAGAGTGCACAATGTCACTCTTGTCGGTCAAAGTTTTGCAATCGTATTCTGATTGCAATAAATTGTCTCGTTCTGGGAGACATGCACAGGCAATGTCTCCCGGAATGACACATGCAGACCAACAAGAGTGCACAATGCACTCTTGTCGGTCAAAGTTCCGCATTCAAGTTATGAATGCGGAACAGTATGCCATTCTGGGAGACATGCACAGGCAATGTCTCCCGGAATGACACATGCAGACCAACAAGAGTGCACAATGCACTCTTGTCGGTCAAAGTTCCGCATTCATAACTTGAATGCGGAACAGTATGCCATTCTGGGAGACATGCACAGGCAATGTCTCCCGGAATGACACATGCAGACCAACAAGAGTGCACAATGCACTCTTGTCGGTCAAAGTTCCGCATTCAAGTATGAATGCGGAACAGTATGCCATTCTGGGAGACATGCACAGGCAATGTCTCCCGGAATGACACATGCAGACCAACAAGAGTGCACAATGCACTCTTGTCGGTCAAAGTTCCGCATTCAAGTTATGAATGCGGAACAGTATGCCATTCTGGGAGACATGCACAGGCAATGTCTCCCGGAATGACACATGCAGACCAACAAGAGTGCACAATGCACTCTTGTCGGTCAAAGTTCCGCATTCAAGTTATGAATGCGGAACAGTATGCCATTCTGGGAGACATGCACAGGCAATGTCTCCCGGAATGACACATGCAGACCAACAAGAGTGCACAATGCACTCTTGTCGGTCAAAGTTTTGCAATCGTATTCTGATTGCAATAAATTGTTCATTCTGGGAGACATGCACAGGCAATGTCTCCCGGAATGACACATGCAGACCAACAAGAGTGCACAATGCACTCTTGTCGGTCAAAGTTTTGCAATCGTATTTGATTGCAATAAATTGTCTCATTCTGGGAGACATGCACAGGCAATGTCTCCCGGAATGACACATGCAGACCAACAAGAGTGCACAATGCACTCTTGTCGGTCAAAGTTCCGCATTCAAGTTATGAATGCAACAGTATGCCATTCTGGGAGACATGCACAGGCAATGTCTCCCGGAATGACACATGCAGACCAACAAGAGTGCACAATGCACTCTTGTCGGTCAAAGTTTTGCAATCGTATTCTGATTGCAATAAATTGTTCATTCTGGGAGACATGCACAGGCAATGTCTCCCGGAATGACACATGCAGACCAACAAGAGTGCACAATGCACTCTTGTCGGTCAAAGTTTTGCAATCGTATTTGATTGCAATAAATTGTCTCATTCTGGGAGACATGCACAGGCAATGTCTCCCGGAATGACACATGCAGACCAACAAGAGTGCACAATGCACTCTTGTCGGTCAAAGTTCCGCATTCAAGTTATGAATGCGGAACAGTATGCCATTCTGGGAGACATGCACAGGCAATGTCTCCCGGAATGACACATGCAGACCAACAAGAGTGCACAATGCACTCTTGTCGGTCAAAGTTTTGCAATCGTATTCTGATTGCAATAAATTGTTCATTCTGGGAGACATGCACAGGCAATGTCTCCCGGAATGACACATGCAGACCAACAAGAGTGCACAATGCACTCTTGTCGGTCAAAGTTTTGCAATCGTATTCTGATTGCAATAAATTGTCTCGTTCTGGGAGACATGCACAGGCAATGTCTCCCGGAATGACACATGCAGACCAACAAGAGTGCACAATGCACTCTTGTCGGTCAAAGTTCCGCATCAAGTTATGATGCGAACAATGTTGCCATTCTGGGAGACATGCACAGGCAATGTCTCCCGGAATGACACATGCAGACCAACAAGAGTGCACAATGCACTCTTGTCGGTCAAAGTTCCGCATTCAAGTTATGATGCGGAACAGTATGCCATTCTGGGAGACATGCACAGGCAATGTCTCCCGGAATGACACATGCAGACCAACAAGAGTGCACAATGCACTCTTGTCGGTCAAAGTTCCGCATTCAAGTATGAATGCAACAGTATGCCATTCTGGGAGACATGCACAGGCAATGTCTCCCGGAATGACACATGCAGACCAACAAGAGTGCACAATGCACTCTTGTCGGTCAAAGTTTTGCAATCGTATTCTGATTGCAATAAATTGTTCATTCTGGGAGACATGCACAGGCAATGTCTCCCGGAATGACACATGCAGACCAACAAGAGTGCACAATGCACTCTTGTCGGTCAAAGTTTTGCAATCGTATTCTGATTGCAATAAATTGTCTCGTTCTGGGAGACATGCACAGGCAATGTCTCCCGGAATGACACATGCAGACCAACAAGAGTGCACAATGCACTCTTGTCGGTCAAAGTTCCGCATTCAAGTTATGAATGCGGAACAGTATGCCATTCTGGGAGACATGCACAGGCAATGTCTCCCGGAATGACACATGCAGACCAACAAGAGTGCACAATGCACTCTTGTCGGTCAAAGTTCCGCATTCAAGTTATGAATGCGGAACAGTATGCCATTCTGGGAGACATGCACAGGCAATGTCTCCCGGAATGACACATGCAGACCAACAAGAGTGCACAATGCACTCTTGTCGGTCAAAGTTCCGCATTCAAGTTATGAATGCGGAACAGTATGCCATTCTGGGAGACATGCACAGGCAATGTCTCCCGGAATGACACATGCAGACCAACAAGAGTGCACAATGCACTCTTGTCGGTCAAAGTTTTGCAATCGTATTCTGATTGCAATAAATTGTTTCATTCTGGGAGACATGCACAGGCAATGTCTCCCGGAATGACACATGCAGACCAACAAGAGTGCACAATGCACTCTTGTCGGTCAAAGTTTTGCAATCGTATTCTGATTGCAATAAATTGTCTCGTTCTGGGAGACATGCACAGGCAATGTCTCCCGGAATGACACATGCAGACCAACAAGAGTGCACAATGCACTCTTGTCGGTCAAAGTTTTGCAATCGTATTTTGATTGCAATAAATTGTCTCGTTCTGGGAGACATGCACAGGCAATGTCTCCCGGAATGACACATGCAGACCAACAAGAGTGCACAATGCACTCTTGTCGGTCAAAGTTCCGCATTCAAGTTATGAATGCGGAACAGTATGCCATTCTGGGAGACATGCACAGGCAATGTCTCCCGGAATGACACATGCAGACCAACAAGAGTGCACAATGCACTCTTGTCGGTCAAAGTTCCGCATTCAAGTTATGAATGCGGAACAGTATGCCATTCTGGGAGACATACACAGGCAATGTCTCCGGAATGAGACACTGCGACCGTCAGGAGTGCATATTATCATCAAAAATTCAAAAAAAAAACATTTTTCTTTTTTCTTTAGCCAAAATGTACTTATTTTTTCGAAATTTTCGAAATATGATTTTTTCGGGAGACTTTTTCAAAATTTTAATATGATAAATATGAGTTATTTTATGTTCTCTATTTGAGAGTCTGCTTATTTTTGAGTATTGAGCAAAATTGAAAAATGAGAATATTTAGGAACATAATAAATCGATTTATCTCGTCATGTAGTTCATATTTTCGCGTTCTGAGAGCGGAAAACGCATTTTTTGAATGCGTAGATTCCGAATCACACGGAAAAAATAGGTTTTAATAAGAAAAATAGACAATTTATGAAGTAACAAAGCACATAGTATTATAAAAAGAAAAACATTTTCTCATATGAAAGAAAATATAACGTATTTTTTACAGAGCGTAGGTATATATCGAGCCAATTCACACCATAAATTCTTTTCTCGTTCTCGGGCCTATGAACAACCTGAGGTGCACAACAATATTAACTTATACTGCTGTTATCTGGATTTGAATCCTCAATTGAGAGAATTCCAGATAACTTCAGTATAAACAAACCATATACATATTTCCTCCTTGCTTCTAGGCCAAGCATAACAAGTACATTACCTTAGAGCAAATCTCATTCGGAGTTTCTCATTTAATGAGAGACTCCGAATGAAATTTGCCTATTTGATTAATATCGTGCTTTATGAGATGCAAATTCTGATGATAAATATTGATCTAGAGCTTATATAAGATGCGAAGAAACTTCAAAAAAAGCTAACCGGTAAAGACAGCAACTTGCAACACCAAGTTGCTCACGTAGTGATTACAAGCATATCTGCAAGGCAAAGTCCTCAGGATGCAGAACTTTGCCTGCAATCAGAAAAGAGATTGCAGCAGAGTAACCGGTAAAGACAGCAACTTGCAACACCAAGTTGCTCACGTAGTGATTACAAGCATATCTGCAAGGCAAAGTCCTCAGGATGCAGAACTTTGCCTGCAATCAGAAAAGAGATTGCAGCAGAGTAACCGGTAAAGACAGCAACTTGCAACACCAAGTTGCTCACGTAGTGATTACAAGCATATCTGCAAGGCAAAGTCCTCAGGATGCAGAACTTTGCCTGCAATCAGAAAAGAGATTGCAGCAGAGTAACCGGTAAAGACAGCAACTTGCAAAGTCAAGCAGTTTCTGAGATTTTGATTTATAAATCATAAACCTTCATGCTTGATGATTTTGTAGAATTGTTAACTCATGTCATCAGTTAATGCTCACCTAAGGGAGGTGTTTTGCGGGAGCTGGGGGTATCTTGGTGAGTACTCAGGAGGCCAAGAAGGGCACCCCAACCGACATTTTGCTGATGGATTGAGTTCGCAACCATTTTTATAACCGTAAAAACCGTCGGGACAAAACAACTTGAATAATTGAATTTTTTAATGATAATGATTGTGAAATAACATGTAACTATAATTTAAGAATGCCATATTTTTGTTAAAAAAATTTCGAAAAGTGAGAGATTTTCCGTTCTAATAAATATATTTGATAACCGGGGTGTCCCCCGGAATCAAATAAATTATCATATCGAGAATCGGAGATCCTTGCAGTTTCGATTTTTTCGAAAAGTGAGAGATTTTCCGTTCTAATAAATATATTTGATAACCGGGGTGTCCCCCGGAATCAAATAAATTATCATATCGAGAATCGGAGATCCTTGCAGTTTCGATTTTTTCGAAAAGTGAGGTATTATTATTTTCAATCTTACTTGTATCTGTTTAATTAATTATCAGTGCATTCAAAAACGTATCTCAAGAACCATAGAAGAACTTAAATTTAGCTGGTTTGAATATTTTGGAAACACAGCAAAATCTGAGAAGACGCGGGATGGGAGAGCAATCTATGTTACAACAGGTAATTCAAATTATCACATTTATGATTGTTCGTTTCAGGAATGCAAAACGAACGGAGCAATATACATTAAAAGATATAACGCAATCCGCACATTACTTGAAGATTCAATATTTAACAAATGTGGCTCCGATTCAAATGGGGGATCTGTTTACTATCAGTGCAAAGAAGGCCAATTTGTCCAACAACGAACTTTCTATTCTAATTCAAAAGCAATCAGCTACATAGCATTTTGTCAATTTGTTAAAATTTCTGCTTCTTATAAAAACTATGCATATGATGTTTCTGTTTCTAACTGCGGTGAAAGTGAATCGATAGGAAGTGTAACAATTAGTATTACATATGGTAATATACGTATATCGAATATTAATAGCACATACAACAAATGCAATCAATATTCATCAATAGAGAGCATCCTTGACGAAAGTTCAGGTACCTGCAATTTTTCAAATTTCATAAACAACAATCAAATTGGGAGCGTATCCCTTGAATTCTGGATAAATGGAGATAGTATGGATTACAAACAAACGGTTACTTATTGCAATGTTCTTGGAAATAAATGTGGAACAGATAACGATCAAGTTCTTTTTTTAGGCGTTTTAACAACTAATGTGGATCATTGCATATTTTTATGTAACACTGCCAAGTTCATGTTTCGGCAATTTGAAGCAGATTTCACATTGACTATTTCAGATTCATATGTTGAATCACAGTCAACACGTACAGGAGGAAATGTCAAATTTACTGATCTAAAACAAAATTACGATTTTAATGATATTTCTCATTTTTATATTGAAAATTGTTTCATTGGAAAAAATGTCTATCCGGAAATCAGTATAAAACCCAAATTTGTTATTAAACGTGCACCAATGAGGAGGCGATAAAATAAAAAGCAATAAAAATCGTTCCTTCTTACTATTTAAATTAATTTTTCATATCAAAATGATCATTAGAATTAAGAGCATTATATTAATAATAGATCTAACCTTGATTTGTTGTTTGAAGTTTAAAAAGTCTAAGAAAAATAAATATTTATTCAAACAAGATATTATTTTACAAGTTGTTGCTAAATGTTATATTGACAATGAGAATAGGATCTAATGGATGCTTGTATTTATCAATTTCGACAGTCATGATTTTTTGAATCGTTTCTTTCCCTGAAACGAGTCTTCCCCAACAAGTATGCTTTCCATTTAATGATGGAGCAGGGTTAGTAGTTATAAAGAACTGTGATCCGTTCGTATTCTTACCTTCGTTGGCCATACCAACCATCCATGCTTCTGAAAAATTATTAATTACATTATCCAAGTTTTCGTCATCGAAATAACCTCCCCAGATAGATTCTCCACCTATACCAGAGCCAGTTGGATCTCCCATCTGTATGCAGAAGTCTCTTTCGACACGAAAGATTCTTGTGTTGTCGTAATATCCTCGCTTCGAGTGAGTCACGAAGTTTTCAACTGTCAAAGGACATTCTTCAGGAAACATCTCGAATTTAATGTCTCCCATCATTGTATGCAAAGTCGCAACGCGTGGTAATGATGATGCCAATACACGTGGTACTTTCGTGACTGCTTTAACAACTTCTTCGGTGACTTTTTCGTTGAAAGCGTCACGTTTTCCGGATTTTCCGTTTTCATTGGTAAATAAGTAGAATCTTTGTTTGTTGAATGCTGATGCTAACAACATTGGAACATCTGACTTCAGAAATGCTAAAGAATTAAATCTTTCTTGCATTTCAACTCGACCAATAATTCGAAGTAATGTTCCTGTTTGGGAATCATAGAATTTGATACCAAATGCGGAAGGAATTATTAAAATACTATCAGTTCTATCAAACATTGCACTAAAATAAGAATTATTTTCTCGACATTGTTTTTCAAGGTTAACTCTTGAGTTATACATATCTGTGTCTAATCCATAAGTCTTAGAACCATCTAATTCATCACTAAATCTGCGGACAATCTTACCAGTTTCGATATCAAATTCACGAATTGTCCAATCTGAACAACAGACTATGAAATAGCGGCCATTATTAGAAAATGCTGAAGATACGACTTTATTACCATTTCCTTTGATACTCATTAATTCCATAAAGTTAGATTGGAATAAAGTATATCCAAAATCAGGACATTTACCGTATATATCCCAAAATGTAATCATACCTTTTTTGTCAACAGAAAGGCCAATTTCTTTCTCAAATGAAAAGCACATTGATGTAATTGGAGAAGAATTTAAAGTAAATTCACGAATAATTTGCGTTTCTAGATCTTCTTTGAATGGATCTACGATTTTAATTGATTTTTCATTTCCTAAACTAACTGCTAAGTATTGATTTAAGGCAGATTTATCTTTAATATAACATAAATTTACTTCTGTGCGAACTCCAAAATCTACTTTTGTAAGCATCTCGAATGACTGAATTCTGCATATGATGATTTTCCCACTGTTTGTTCCAATTGCTATAAATTCATCATCTTCACTCACAGAAAACGAACAAAATTGACCTTCATGTGGTTGTATTTGTTTAACAAATTCGATTTCGGTTTTATCTGCATGCCAAAATTTAATGAAGCCATCAACACTCATCGTAATAAAGAATTGGTACGTTTGACTTGAAGCAACGAACTGTAAATTTTCTCTGTGCATATATGATCGATAGTACATTTCGCCTGAAGGTAAAGTTGTGAATATGTTATTCTCTATATCTTCAGTCATAATAAATAATAGCATACTTGCTCAATAAATTTTGCTATTTATGATAACATATATAATAATTTCACATATTTTTTAAGATTTGAGCATTTTCAAATTCTGAGCGGAAATTATTTATAATAAATTTCGAAACCGACAGAACAAATAAGCTGCATTTTCAATAAATATATCAATTTCAGCTATTAAAGTTGTTAATCTTATATCAATTAAAGTGGCTGGGAGAATTTTTAAGTATTTCAGGGAAATGTATTGCGAAATATTATCACATGATGAATCCTTATCATTATTTACAAGAATAATCATCGTTGATTAACCATAAATTCAATGGGTTTCTCATTGTCAAAATTGAATGTATTATTCAATTTTTTATCCATCTAATTACACTAATAACAACATATGCATTAAATTTTTTAATTCATGTTCCTGAAATCTCGGTTTTACATCATCTCAAAAATTTGAATGTGTTTTTTTATAAAATTTTTTCTTCATACCTAGAGACAGTCAAATTCAGTTTGAAAGGATGTCAACACAGCGAAGGAACTCTTCGGAGTACTCCGAGAGCAAATCCAACTCTAACTCCAAATCGAAGTCAGAGATCCAGGTAGACGATTCGGAGAAGAAGGAAGCGCGCGGAATTCTCTATAAAGTTATGTTCAGTAATCCAGAAGCCATTGTAGCCTTAATCCCAGCACTTATTTCAGGTGGCGCACCAATCTGTTCTTTCCTTTTATTCGGAAGAATCCTCAACAAGCTTTCCGAATATGGTATGTCTGTTTACATGAATAAGCAGGACCCAACCTATCCAGTCGCAGATGTTTTGCCAGACATTTCATTTTATTGCATTTGGGTCACAGTTATTGCAGCAATTGCAGGTATTGCAAAGTTTTTCCAGACATTTTGCTGGATTAGACTCGGTGCAAGACTCTCAACAAGAATTAGACGTGATTTGTTCAAGAACATGATGATGTCAGAAGTCACATTCTTCGATGTCACTCCAATCGGTGGCATTTTGACACTTTTAAGTGAAGATGCACAAATGGTTCAAGATGCTTTCGGCACAATTAAGGGCACACAGATCGAAAACATTGCCAAATTTATCACAGGTATCGTTCTGGCTTTTGTTTATTCTTGGAAATTGGCTTTAGTATCATGTGCGGTCATTCCAGTCTGTTCAATCGCTATTATGATCTTCATGCCATTCATCATCAAGAGATCAACCCTCAGATTTGCGGTTCTTGCAAAATCAATGACAATTGCCGAAGAAACATTATCCTCCATCCATACAGTACGTGGATTCAACCGTGAAGATGACGAAATCGAAAGGTTTAAGTCCACATCCCTCATTTCCACAAAGCATGAACAAGTCATCGGATATCTTGTCGTTGCGATGTTCACAATCGTCATGACAATTGTCTGGACAGATGTTGTTGCCAACATGTACTTCGGTGCTACACTTGTCGAGAAATCCATGAAAGGCGACAAATCATTTTTAATCGGAGACATGATGTCATGCTTTATGTTCACAATGATGGGTACAATGGGTATCATGATGATCCAAGGATCAATGTCCGGTGAACAAAAAGCTGTTGCTGCCGGTGCAAGAATTCTCAAATTAACTAAACATACTCCAGCAATTCCATTCGAAGGCGGCCTTCAACCAGAAGAATTCAAGGGACACATTGAGTTCAAGAACGTCACATTCCAATATCCAACACGCCCTGTCAACGTTCTCAACAATGTTTCCTTCGAAGTTCCTCCAAACACTGTTGCTGCTTTAGTTGGCCACTCCGGATCCGGAAAATCAACATGTGTCCAACTCATCGAGAGATACTACGACGTACAAGATGGCATTGTCATGCTCGATGGCCGTGATATCAAGGAATACGATCCAAGATGGTTGCACAGGAAGATTGGCTTGGTCAATCAAGAACCAACATTGTTCTCAACAACAATCAAAGAGAACATCATCTACGGAAAGAAAGATGCAACACAGGAAGAAATCGATAACGCAACAGAAATTGCAAATGCAAAGAAGTTCATTGACAAGCTTGAGAAGAAATATGAAACTCTTGCAGGTGAAAAAGGCGCTAAATTGTCAGGTGGTCAGAAACAAAGAGTTGCAATTGCTCGCGCTGTCATTAAGAATCCAGCAATTTTGTTGTGTGATGAAGCTACATCAGCTTTGGATGCAGGTTCTGAGAAGAAGGTTCAAATCGCTCTTGACAAGGTCATGGAGAACAGAACATCAGTCATTGTCGCTCACAGATTGTCAACAATCAGAAATGCAAAGATCATCTATGTTTTCGATGCAGGAAAGATCGTTGAACAAGGAACACATGACGAGTTGGTTGCTAAGAAAGGTGCTTACTACAACTTAGTTTCAAGACAATTGGTCGATCCAACTGCAGGAAACACAAACAAAGTTGAAGATGCTGATAAGTCTGACGGAAGCTCATCATCTCCAAAGGATGATCATCCAATCGAGTTACCAAAGGACGTTCCAAATGAAGAGCCAAAGAAGCAAGAAGAACCAAAGAAACAAGAAGAAGAGCCAAAGAAGGAAGAAAAGAAAGAAACTCCTAAAGATTCACCAAAGACAACTGAAGTAGAGCAGATGAGAGATGAATCTTCTGGATCAGGATCTGGATATTCTTATTCTTACTCTTCAAAGTCATACTCTTACTCAAAGTCAAAATCTAAGAAATAATTTTTCTAAATTTGACTTAAGTAAACAATTTTGATTTAATCAATTAACAGTATTTTTAGATTAATGAATTATACGACTCATATTTCATCATAATATCAATAAATTTAGATTTCAAAATTATAAATCTATCATATTATGATCCATTCTTTAAAATTTCGAATATCTTATGTATGAACATAATCATCATCTTATGCATTCAAATAAATATTTTTATTTGCGCAATAATTATTGTCTTTTGTTCAGTTTTTCCTATTAACTTTTTTAATTTTAGTACAACAAAGGAGGGCTACTCGGAAATATATCGGTTTTACTTAATTTAAAAACTTATTAAATTCAAAATGTAAATAGTGTTAGTTGACTTTAACAATATATAAAATTTTAGCTAAAACACAAATAAATTAATCAAGTATAAAAACAAAATTAAAGAACAAAAAACAAATTAATTACACGAAGTGGAGAAAGTCAGAAGGAGGACAATGACCAGAAGTTGTTTGCAATCTTTTCATGAAACGAAGAGCTGTATTGACAGCTTTAACAGACAAACCATTTTTATTGCTGTTAGATAGTTCATTTTTCTCAAATTTGTTCATAATAATCTTTTCATCTCTAAGTAGTGATATCTTTGAAACAACAGTGTAGTTGCCTCTTCCTGCTTTGATTGCTTCTGATAATACAGTTCTTGCAGCTCTGTCTGATCCGTCAGTAAGTGGCTGACCACTTATTTCTGCCTGCATTTTGTTGGACCAATTTCTCCATTCATTAATAATAACATCGGAACCTTGACGTTTTTCAAGTTCTTCTTTTAGAAATTCTATTTGAGAATTTGATGATTCATTAGACTTCTTCAACTCTTCAGCTTCTTTTTCTTCCTTTTCAATAGTCTTTTTGAGATTATCTACATAGTCTTCAATAGATTCTGGATATTTAATGTCGTATTTATCACGAATCTTTGTTGCATCTAAAAGAATCTTTTTCTGGATTGTATAAAAGGTATGTTTTGATTCCAATGCGTTACATAGGTTTTCTACATTCTCTGTTGATGATGGTGACATTTCACAAAGCTTAAGAAGAAGCTTTCTCGTATCTTCAACTTGTTTTGCAGAATCTGAAACTTGTTTTTCTGCTTGAGATTTGATACTTTGTATTAATGAATCACTTTTGGCTTGTAAAGCCTGTTTCTCATCTTCTGCATTCTTCTGGATCTTTGCAATCTTCATATTTGCTGTTTTCTCTGCAACTTTGGCTTCTGAAGCTTCTTGTTTAGATGCTTCGAGTGATTTCTTCAGATTTTCAATTTCTGCTTTAAGATTTGAGTTTTCTGATACAAGATCTCTTGATTCTTCTTTAGCATTATCAATAACAGTTTTAACACGAGAATTTAGTGCTTCTTCTGTTTCTGACTTCTGTTTTGTCATTTCTTCTAATTCTTTTTGCGATTTATGGAGTCTTTCTTTAAATTTCTCTCTACTGTTTCTAAGTCTTGTTTCCAGAACAATTAATTGGTCTACTTGTTCTTTGAAGGCTTTGTTTTCTGCCTGGTAATTTAAGCATTTATCGGCAAGACATTCATTTTCCTTAATAAGTGTATTCGTTCTGTTCTGTATAGCGTCTAGCATCGAGCAAGTATCTTTCTGCGCCTTAATTGCTTCTTTGTATTTGGCAAATTTCTCTTTCAACTTTTTAGAAAGGTCAAGTAGTGCTGTCTTGGCAACCTGAAGCTCAGAACCAAGGAATTTGATTTTGTCCTGAAGAGATTCCTTTTCTTTTGTGAGTTTGTCAACATCTTGAGAATGTTGTTGAACTTCTTCATCTAAAGACGCTTTGCATGTATTAAGAGTGTCTGTTAAGCTTTCTATTGATTGAGTAGTTGTCTGCTTATATTCTTCCAATGTTTTAATCAAATCTTCGTTTTGCTTTTTAAGTGCGTTGAAAGCTGTTTCATTTAATTCTGTTTTAGTTTTTGCATCATCTATTATGCTTTCGTAAAAGATTTCTGGCTTTCCAGTAATCTCTTTGATTGCTGCTTCAAGTTTCTCGATTTTAACTTGATTTGAAGCATTTTGCTGAACAACTTCGAAGTATTCATCGTTAAGAGTCTTTAAACGCGAGATTGGAACAGTATTTTTCTTGAAGTTTTCAATTTGAGATTCTAGCTTCTTATTGTAATTGAGTAGCATGTTATTAACATTCACAATGCCACAGAAAATCGTAAATAGTTCTTTTATTGGATGCATGTCAAGATCTTCGTTACTTGCGAATTTGAGGAATTCATTCATTTGTTTTTCAGGTGTATCAAGTGCTCGTGCATCAAATATAGAATATTCTCTTGGAATGTTTTCTATTCCGATTTCTAGCATATTTTCCTCTAGAAAGTTAGAGAGCTTGATGCAATGAGAAAGAATAAGTGATCTGACATCAGATCCGATAGTTTCACCGCCAGTGAAGCAAAAACCTCTAATAAACGATATTGCATCATCTAAATGTGAAAGTAAATCAATATATTTTTCTCTTGGAACACTTCCTGTACTATAAGAAATGATATCATCGCTAGTTTTTTGTTTATTTCCTTGATGCTTCCCTTGTAATTCATTATTTTTACCAATCATGATATTAAAAGTGACAAGAAATTTTAAACGAATATCGCTCACACATTTCTATTTTATTTTTGGAATTTGGAAATCCTTACAGCAATTTCCCCTAAGGGAACTCTCACGATGATCCACATAGTAGAATCAAGCAAACAATGTAACTTCAAGTAGAATATACACAAAAAGCTGAATTTTCAAAGAATATTTAAACACAATAATATATAAAAAGAAGTAATGTTATTTTGGTTATAAGAGAAATGATTTATAATGAATATTTTTTTTAAACTGATGAACCTGAACCAGAACTGCTTTCTTTCTTCTTTTCATAACTGGAACCACTTCCTGACGATTTAGAATATGTTAAAGACTCTGCAGAGCTATAACTAGAGTTTCCTAGCTCCACTAGGGTATCTTTGTAAAGGAAGAACATTACAGACCAGATTCCGATGACAACAATAAGAAATACAAGAGCGACCACAATTATTAGCATTAAACCATTTCCTTTTGCACCATCTTTTTTGACATAATGCTTTTGTAACAATTCGGTGTAAAGAGGAGGATCAGTTGGTAAATCTTTCATTGTTGAGAGCCATTTCGTGGAATAATTAATGGGGGTGCGGATAAAGAATTTGTTTTCGGTAAAATTTACTTCCATCTCAGGTTCATAATGTTTCCACTCTTTGTTTGGAGTAGTTGGACCAATGAAAGAACTTTTGTTCAGTGATTCTTTGGTGCTAGAAGATGGGATGAAACCAGAAATGACTGTCTTTTGGTTTTCGCCCATATAGTTGTTTTTGAAATTTGTTGCATTGAAAACGTAAGGCAAGAGTGTGTCGTCATATTGGAATGTGAACTTTGTTGTCTTTGACGAATCTTGCTGCTGACAGTTTGATGAGAGGATAACTGATGATGCAGTGTCTGAGTTCCATCTAAGATTGACATTTGTTCCGAATATGTCACAAACATCTGTATTTGAATTTTCTGAATTAGTTCCGTCGTCTAATATTCGTTTGTTTGATGAATACCCACTCGGTCTGAGAACTGATCCTGGATACATCGTTAAGTTATTGTTAACTTGTAATGAATCAAATTCTGAGATAGTATCATATTTGATCTCTAAGTTATCGAATATTGCTTTGCATCCTGATATCTTAGTGATTTTTGTTTCGTTATCTTCACTCAGCAAAATGTCAAATGACATATCTGGGAACTTGACCTCTGGAAGATTTGAAGATCTATCACCAAGTTTGAATGTTGTGACTTTGGATTGAACACGACTTGCCAGCGTGTTTGATACTTTGTATATTGAGTTTCGAATGTATGGTCCTGTGTAGTTCAACAACATCAACACATTTGTTATTGTGCTGTTTCCTGGATTCAATGTGATTATTTCTTGACTCCTGAATGAATCTGGCCAATCGACATCGCTTTCTGCAGTCAGAATCTCTGCATATCCAATAAAATTAGTGAGATTGAAATTAACAACATTCTCTGCTGTTTCTTTTCCATCATATTCGATTAATAATCTATATTCATCATTATTTGAGAACGAATCTTGTGATAAATAATCAACAGTTAAAAGAACCTTTGAAGCTGTAATTTGAATGGTAACAGGGACAACATCTACAACTGGAGTTACACGTAGTTTTATCCTTGTCGAGTTTCCATAAAATAAACCTGCAATTTGTAACGGTTCCAAACCTGTTATTACCAAAATTGACTTTCCCAGTGGCCAATATCTTAATTGATATACACTAATAGAAAAATCGCTGGCAAATAACTTTGCAACATCATCTGAGTTATAATAAAACGTTACTTTTTCATTAAATGTTGGCTTTAATTTGAAATTGAATGAGGATCTGGTTAGCGAGACACTATTGACATTATCATTAATGGAAAGAGTGGAAACATCAAGATCATAGTTAAGATTCAGGTTATTCAAAGAAATATTGCCTTGAAGTTCTGATAAGCCGAGAACGTTGATTCTTGCATATGCACCATCAGCTGCACTGATAAAGAAGTCTTTGTTCTTCAAATCACTGTTTAGTTTCGTCAAATCGAGTGTCGGAATTTTAAAGTTCATCGAATCAAATCCGAGAGATGTGATATAATATCCGATTTCGATACCATTCAAGTCGCTTGGTGCATTGAGGGATAAGTTGAGAACCTTCTCTGGATAGTCTGGATCTAGTGCTTTCATTTGTGATATTGGTAAACTCATGTTGAGAACACGTGTTAGATAATATTTCATAGATGATGCTTTGCAATCAGAAACTGTTCCTAGATCGAATGTCAAACATATAGATAGTGGGAACAGACTTAGTTTGTCAGGATCAAATTTAACTCGACCACTTGTTGTTGATGTCATAATTGATTGACCTTCATAAAAACCTGGAATTGTGACATCACTCGCTAATTCGACGTTGATTTCTCTATTTTCACATGAAACTACTTGCATCTCTGTCGTTGGGAACTTTGACGAAATCTCTGATTTCGTATAATAATGTGAAGAATCTTCATGATCGATATATAAAATCAGAGAGTTTGTACCTTCGTATTGAGGCAGTGTTGTGAATGTTAATTGCCCGCATTCATATTTCTCAGAAAACTTCTTCATGTGCCAATGCAACGGTATGTATTTTGAAGTCCATGAAGGAAAATTTGTTAATTTTCCAAATACAAGATTAACTCCGGAAGCCATGTAGAAGTCATTATAATCTTTCCAGCCAAAATCACAATCTGATATTTTAATGCTTGCGCTTGATGTTGACGAATCTAATTTTATTGTTAAATCAGTGAAGAAATTAAATGCAAAAGATTTGATTGTTGTACTCTTATGAAGAATTAATATCACATGTGCAGGGAGATTAAACATATTGAAAGGAAATTCACTTCCATCAATTTCAATTGTCCATTCTGTGAAACCAAATACGCATGCAAAGGATGTTGAATATGATATTGAGAATAGTGATGTAGATGAGATTACTATTTTCGAGTACGAAACATTTCCACCTGTAATATCTAATCTTGATAGTGTCACATCACTAGGGATAACTGACTTATTTTCATGTTGATCTAATGTCAATGTTGCAGGGGATGATTGGTACGTATCAAAGTTGAACACTAATGATGAATAATTATAAGGTATTTGAAATTGAAAAGTAAATGAATCAAATTTCACTGTTGCTAAGAAACTTGTGGTTGTATATCCATCTGATATCTGTACAGATGTATAATTATTGACATTACTAAACGAAAGCGCTCTAGTTTCATAGATTTTATTACTTGTTCTTGAAGTATATCCCGATTCTTCTCCTGTCAAGTTAACATTCCATAATACATAATAGGTATTTGCATTATCCAGGGAAATGATCAAATTCATCGGCCCAATATAATTTAAAATATTAAATCCATCAATTTTATCACCTTTATCTTTGCAATTATATACATGAAAACTTCTAACGTTGAATTGTCCTGGAAATCTTAGAATATAACCATGATATTCACAAGATGAGTTTGATCCTGAAGGAGCATGAGTTATTTCTGTTGATGGTGTTTCTTGCATAGAATCAAATATGATCATGGGATGGAAGTCATCACTTGTAAATTTTTCAAGAATGTTTGAATCTTCATGAGACGCATTTGTCTGAGGTGTATGTCCAGGATAATCGATATTGATACTAGGTAAACTATTCATATCATATTCAAGATTTTGAAGATATGTTTTAACATCACTTTCAGATTTTGAAATAAAATTGGAAAGAGATAACTTATCTTTATAATTTCTTGTGGTCTTACATTGCGAATCATCAGTATTATAAATACAAATGCGAAATTCTGCAAACGCAAGAGATAATAGGAATACAAACATATTTATGGGGCGGCGACAAATTTGCCCAGCCAGTAAAGTATTCAATTTTTTTTGCATTTTTTTAAGGGGGCACACGAGAGGATCATGTAAACTTCAGAATTTAGCTTCTTAACTTAAATCATGGAATGTCTCAAAGAAAAAAGTAGCATACAGCATGTAAAGCTAAAGAAAGATAATCATAATTAATACCTTAATTTTTAATATTACGCATTTTTAGGTGCAAAATTTAAAAACATTCTAATACAATAGAGCAGTTTCCAAAAGTAGCATACAGCATGCAAAGCTAAAGAAAGATAATCATAATTAATACCTTAATTTTTAATATTACGCATTTTTAGGTGCAAAATTTAAAAACATTCTAATACAATAGAGCAGTTTCCAAAAGTAGCATACAGCATGTAAAGCTAAAGAAAGATAATCATAATTAATACCTTAATTTTTAATATTACGCATTTTTAGGTGCAAAATTTAAAAACATTCTAATACAATAGAGCAGTTTCCAAAAGTAGCATACAGCATGCAAAGCTAAAGAAAGATAATCATAATTAATACCTTAATTTTTAATATTACGCATTTTTAGGTGCAAAATTTAAAAACATTCTAATACAATAGAGCAGTTTCCAAAAGTAGCATACAGCATGTAAAGCTAAAGAAAGATAATCATAATTAATACCTTAATTTTTAATATTACGCATTTTTAGGTGCAAAATTTAAAAACATTCTAATACAATAGAGCAGTTTCCAAAAGTAGCATACAGCATGTAAAGCTAAAGAAAGATAATCATAATTAATACCTTAATTTTTAATATTACGCATTTTTAGGTGCAAAATTTAAAAACATTCTAATACAATAGAGCAGTTTCCAAAAGTAGCATACAGCATGCAAAGCTAAAGAAAGATAATCATAATTAATACCTTTAAAGTTTAAAATCTTGATTTTTTTTAAAATCAAATATTTATAACTTTAATACATACAGCTTAAACCTTATACTTGTTTTCTCTTGTGAGAAAGCAATCTTACAAAGCTAACAATCCTAAAAAATAAAGAATTAAAATTTAATAATTTAATCTAACAAAATTTCTCTCTTTATCCTTTTGCACTCTTTATATGCAACTCAAATCCATCATATAATATTCCTATAATACTCTTGCCTCAAACAATGACGAACAAACTGCTATTCTCATTTAATTACAGACCAAATCTATTCAAATTTCTGAATTTTTAATTTTCATTTCAATTTCAAATGGAATTAGAAGAAGAAACTATCTTTACTGTTATGGATCTTTGTAAATTTGGAGTTAAACAAGAAATACAAGCACAGTATGGATATGGTGAACGTGTCAGGAAAGAAAGATCTCAGATTTCATTCCACTGCAAATATCCAAAATGTCCTGCACATTTTAATGTTGCAATCTTGGATCAAAATAAATACAAACTAATCAAAATAGTTGAAGAACATGATCATTCCGCCCCAAATGACAAAAGTCAATATTCGTCTGTCTTTTATCGCAAATATTTAGAACATTACTTCCAAACAGATGACAATCAAAGAGCGATAGCACAGCTAAATGCATTCAAAGATCTTGAAATTCCTCTTACAGGTCCGTCCATTCCAGAGATGTACGCTCAAAAACCACGTGCAATCAAACGATTTGCAGAGAGAATACATGCTCTTCAAACTAGATATTCTCCTGACGATGTTGTGTCATTGCAAATCTTTGTTCAGACAGTACAAGAAGAATCTCCAGATGATCTCATTGCATTTGAAGTCTCAGACAATAATATGTGTTTCTATTACGCGCCTTTTGAAGGCAAAGCTTATGCGCATAGTATCAAGACATTTCATATAGACAGCACCTATAAATTGTTGCGATCAAACATTCCATTGTATGCATTTACTGGCAAAATCAAAGATTTTCACATTTTCCCTTTTTTATATTTCTTTTGTCAACCAGACACTTATCAAAACATTCAAGTTTGCGTGTGCGCCTATCTCAGATGGGTAACAATTGAGCCAGAATACATTAGCATGGACTGTGCTCCACAGATAGCTCAAGCAATAGAAGAAAGCATTCCACAAGCTCAAATACTTTGGTGCGGAGTACATGTTCTTCGTGCAATTCTTCGCAAATCAAATAAGTTTTCTTCTCAAGAAAAATTTGAACAATTCTATAATTTGATGAAGGATTTAGTCTTCAAATTAGATGCAGAACATGAGGAAGAAGCAAATGCTGCCTATGATCAAGTTCTGGAGTTGCTCGACACAGATCCAACAGCATCTCAATACTTTAACAGACAATGGCGTTACAACATATCAAGATGGATTGCTCGTGACAGGCGTGAAGGCGACGCAACTAACAATATTGCCGAAGCTCATTTTAGAACACTCAAACATGACTATTTTCCTGATCGAAAAAATCTCAGAATTGATGATGTTATTATAGAAATTTATACAAAAGTGATACCATCTTTCGTTATCAAACTCAAAATTGATCAAAATCCAGCAGATGACCGTGTTATTAGGATCATGGAAAAAGCAACTAACGCAGAAATTGATGTAAAAAGACAAAGAAAAATCGAGAGTATTTCAATGCTCAATAGATTGCTCAATGCTGTTAGTGATGACTCAATAGATCCCACTAAAATATATCCTACCTTGAAAGTATTATTACAAAGAACTCATTTCATTTAATTTTGATTTTAATTTTAGATTAAATTATTAAATTTTAATTCTTTATTTTTTAGGATTGTTAGCTTTGTAAGATTGCTTTCTCACAAGAGAAAACAAGTATAAGGTTTAAGCTGTATGTATTAAAGTTATAAATATTTGATTTAAAAAAAATCAAGATTTTAAACTTTAAAGGTATTAATTATGATTATCTTTCTTTAGCTTTGCATGCTGTATGCTACTTTTGGAAACTGCTCTATTGTATTAGAATGTTTTTAAATTTTGCACCTAAAAATGCGTAATATTAAAAATTAAGGTATTAATTATGATTATCTTTCTTTAGCTTTGCATGCTGTATGCTACTTTTGGAAACTGCTCTATTGTATTAGAATGTTTTTAAATTTTGCACCTAAAAATGCGTAATATTAAAAATTAAGGTATTAATTATGATTATCTTTCTTTAGCTTTGCATGCTGTATGCTACTTTTTTCTTTGAGACATTCCATGATTTAAGTTAAGAAGCTTTAAAAAAATGCAAAAAAAATGTAATAAAATAAAAAAGAGGATGTTTTATTGTCGTCTGGAAAAAGTGACAAAATTATTATTGTCGTCTAAAAAATAGATTTTTCAAGCATGTTTCGGTACCTAAATAAAGGAAGAACATCAATTCCATCTATGTATATAGTATGCAAACACGCATGATATATGGAGTAGCTCTTTATCTGGCTAAAAATCCTATTATTTGAAAATTCGCATTGTCGTCTAAAACCGCCAGACGACAATAATAATACCCCAATAAAAAAATTTTTAGTATCGATAATCTGAAATATGTTGTTTACTTAAACCGCGAGCGAAGCGAGCGGCTTAGTTTCGTAATTTCGTACAATCTTTTTTCGAATCTGTTCTTTTCTTAAGCCGCAAGCGAAGCGAGCGGCTTAGTTTCGTAATTTCATACAATCTTTTTTCGAATCTGTTCTTTTCTTAAGCCGCGAGCGAAGCGAGTGGCTTAGTTTCGTAATTTCATACAATTATTTTTCGAATTTGTTCTTTTTGTCAACCGCGAGCGAAGCGAGTGGCTTTTTATTTTTAAAATTTTTTTTTTCTTTCTTACTTTTTTTTTCCTTACTTACAAATTTGATAGTAACTTACCAAATCTCTCTATCATATAATAATAAATTAATCCATTTTTTGTTTCAAATCTAACACTTTACATTTCTGACATGTAAACCTGTCACTTTTCACTTCACCTCAGTGGGCAAGTTTGTGCCCCCCTCTCATATTTATTTTCAATTGAATTTTTTGAATCAAATTGAAATAACTTCCATATCAAATAGAGTTTTTCCATTAGTATGTTAAGAGTACTTGAAATATCGGAAAGGTTTAAATCTAACTACGATTGAACCTTTAAATTTTTGAGATGGTCGAATGAAAATGTGTATTCAAATTCTTAAAAAATTCAGCAAATTTATTTGAGGTCTATAAAGTTCTGATATCTATGAAGATTCCTTAAAAACCTCAAATACATTCTTATTCAGCCTTAAATCTATTTTTTTTCCCTCAATCACACCATGGTTAATTTATGTTTAAATAATGAAAATATTTATAAATGAAAACAAGAAAAGAAAATTGTTAATTTGCATTTTTTTCTAATTGCTCGCGTTGCTCTTTAAGACTGATGCATCGTTTCTCTGCTTCATCAAGTTGCTTCTGGTAGATAGCAAGCATCTTTTTGGCACCATTCTCGCGAAGTTGCAAAAGTTTGGCACGACTTTCTAAGTTATCTTTCTTCTGGTTAAGTTCTTCTTCTTGCGATCGAAGTTTGTCTTCTTCTTTCTGCTGTTCCATACGTTTTGTCTCTAATTCTGCTTCTAATGCTGCAATACGCTCACGCTCTTCTCGTGTTTCTTTCTCCATTTGTTCTAACAGTGCGCGCTCGCTGCCTGGACCTTCTGATAATCGTTTGATTTCTGCTTGTTCATCTTCGATCTTCTGTTGAAGCTCATCGTGTTCTGCTTGCAAACCTGCAAGTTTCTGTTTCAACGAATCGACACTTTCACATTCCTTGAGTTTGTTCTCGAGTTCCATAATCATTTTATCTGCTTCTTCATGCTTTTTATTCCATAACTCAAGCCATTTCGATTGTTCCAATTCAACTTCATTTCTTCTTTGTGCAGCAGCTCTTTCAAGCTTTTCGAATCTTCTTTCAACTGCGGCTGCTTCCTCTTCAAACTTTGATAAATATTCATCAATATATGTCTTCATTTTACGTGTGTTTTCGTGTCTTTCTGCTTCTAATGCGGCTCTTCTAATTTCTTTGTTTTGAGTTCTTTCATTTGCTTCTGCTGCAATTCTTGCTGCTTCTTCATCTTCTTTCTTACGTTCAGCAAGCTTCTCTTCTTCTCGCTTAAGCTGCATTTCTAATTGATCAAGTTCGTCGTGTTCTTTTTCTGCTTCTTCCCTTCGTTTTCTGATCTGTTCTCTCTGTTCAAGAAGTTTCTTACGTTTCTCATCACGCTCTGAAAGAGCCTGTAAGATCTTTCGCTTCTTTGCTTCAGCTGCAACTCTACGACGTTCTAAAGCTGCTCGCTTCTCGTTTGTTTCTTCAATCTTCTTTTGATGCTCTAATGCGTCAGCTTCAAGTTTAATGACTTCGGCTTCTCTAACAGAAACCTCTTCTTGTAATGATTCGACTAATTGCTTAAGTCTATTGACTTGCTGAGATTTTCTGCGTACATTTTGAATTAACGTATCTGCATCTTTTGATTGAAGTTCTAATTCTCGTAATTCCATATCTTCTTTTTCTAGAGCTTCCTTTTGTGAGCTAAGCTCTGAAGCAAGCTTATTGTTTCCTTCAACTTCTTGTTGTTTCATTTGGACATTAAGTCTTGCGGTATCAAGCTCTTTCTTTGCTTTTCCAAGATCGGATTTAAGTTTTTCGGCTGTTTCTCTTAATACTTGTGTTTGTCTTTCAATTTCTTCTGTCGATTTATTAAGATTTGCAATTGATGAAACTTGTTCTTCTTGTTCTGATATATCTCTCTCAACTTCGTTAAGATGTATCTCATTTTCATCAAGTTGTTTCTTTTCTTGCTCAAGACTTTTCATTTCATCTTGAATTCTTTGTTGTTCTGCGAGTAATTTTTGTAATTCAAGCTGTAAATTTTCTTCTCTCTTACTTAATTGCTCTATAAATGGCGATTTTTTCGATGTATCTAGATTGGAAATCCCTTTTTTTGCGCTTTTTGACATTTACGTTTAAAAAATGACGAATTTATAATATAATTCATCGGCGTGCAGCACTGATAATATTTATTCACGCTAAACTGTGGGTTGCCGCATTCATAAGTTTCTTATGCCGATTTATAAAGTTTGACGAAAAAATTGGAGCCAAAGCAAGGAATCTAAAACAAAATGAAAATAGAAGATGTAAATTTGCAATGCATTCCTAGATTAAGCATCCTGTTTTATATTGGTATCCTTAATTTCATCGGATTATCATCAAAATTTTTCTGATATTTGAATTCAAATTATTGCAATTTAAGTAGAGAAATAAATTTGAGCAATATTTCTCTCTTATTTCGAATAAGTTATCTTTTATAAACTTTATTTTTTAATTAAAATAATAAAACAACAAAATTAATAATACAAAATAAAATTAAAATGTCTTCAAGTGAAATGATCAATAGTCATTGTTGCACCAGCATATGTCATCTTCTTCTGAACTGTTGTTGTTGGCTGGATGATATTTGTAGACTTAAGAAGAGGCCTGACTTTAGTTTCAAGAGGTTTAGATTCATGTCTGCATTGTCTCATCAAAGAATTCAAGTTAATTTGTGCGAGATGCAACTTAGATTTCAAGTCATTGTTCTCTTTCCTTAATCTTGCCAATTCTGCTATGATTTCTTCGTTCTTTCCGATCTGTTTCATGAATTTAGAACCATTTGCTTCAGAATCTTCTTCAACTTTAACACGAAGTTCAACAACTTTCTCAGCCAAAGCAGATTTATGTCTCTCGAATTCATCCAATGTTTCCAACAAAGCGTGATCTTCTCTTTCTAACTTCTTTTCTGTTCCGAATTGTTCATTCAACAACTGAACTTCATCAGCCCATTTAGCTTCAGGAATTTCTGTGTAAATAGTGTGAACTCTGTTCTTAAACTGGTTGATCTTTGATGTGCATTTTTGAGCAGCATTATCTGTTTTGAGGATTTCATCATATAATCCGTTAATTTCTGCTTCCATTTTTTCAAGTTCTTCATCATCTTTTGCATCAGAAAGTTTCTGTGCTCTAAGGGTTGCTTCGTTTGCAGTGATCATTTGTTTCAATGTCTCTATTTCTTGTTTCTTTGGCAAAGCTTGTTTCTTCATTTCGTTTAATTGGCTGTCAGTGACATTTCTCCATTTAAGAAGTTCTTCATTTTGGCTTTGCAAATCACGTAAATGATTTGTTTGTCTTGCAACTCTTTCGCTTCTTGCTTGGAGATCTCTGTCAATTGCTTCTGTATCAGCTTTCATTTTTTCATTTCTTCTCTTCATTGCTGCGTTTTCTTGTGTCAATTTATTGATCTGTTGGTTGATTGTTGCTTTGCTTTCTAACTTGGAATCATAATCATCTTGGTTACCAACCAATTTAGTTCTAATTCCTTCAATTGATTGCTGTATTTTATTGAGTTCTTCCGCATACTCTTTTCTCAATATTTCCATGTCTTTCTCATGTTCTTCTCTCAACAACTGTTCTTCTTTAGGGTGCAATGATTTGCACTGTAACAATCTCTTCTTTGCTTCATCGTTATCCAATGATTGTACTTTCAATTGTTTCTCAGCTGTATCTCTTCTTTCTTGTAGTTTTGCTTTGAATTCTTCTGTCATGAAGTGAAGTTTTTCTTCGTATTCGCATTGTATCTTTATTTTTTCTTTCATGAGTTCTGCTGCGTGTTTTGTCTGTTCAGTTAATTTCTGTTCGTATAGTTCTTTAACTGACTTAATCTTCATGAAATGCTGAGTGTCTGATTCAGCAATGATATCAGCAGCTTTCTTTTCTTGTTCTGCTTTTTGGTTTTGCAAAGCGTGAACTTGCTTTTTCAGTGAACAAACAGTCATCTGCCATTTGTTCTTTTGCTGAGCAATTTCTCTTGATTGCGTTTCAATCAATTTAGTCTTTGCACATTGGAACTGAGATCTGTGTAAGTTGAGCATTTCTCTCAATCTCGTTAAGTTCTCTTTTTTGTCTTCGAACTGTTCTCTTTCGATAAGGAAACTCTGCTCTTCTCTCGACAATGCTAAGGAAACTGGAGCGGCAATGACCATCTGGTGTGGCTGTACAACGTTGAAGATAAAGATAGAACTGTCTTCACTCGCTGTAAACAATGTTTGGCCATCAGATGAAGCCATGATGCAATGTACTGGTCCTGTGTGAACAGCAACTTCTATACCAATGTTGAATGGATTCTCTTCGCCCATAGGAAGTAGAGGGAATGGAATAACCTGTAAATTACCTCTTACGTCACCTGAAATTATTGATAAATTCACTGGCATGCAGAACGCTGTGAAATTGAGATGGCGAGTTGGGGATCGTTCTGTCTTTGTTGTCTCATCGTAAATAGTGTTGTTATTCGTTGCAACTAAGATATTAAATTGAGTACTGTTGGAATTATCTGAAGCGGTTTGAGATTGGGCAAGTAAGGCACCAATGCATTGAGATTGTAGTGAAACAACTAAGTTTCGCTCCCACATTCTCGCATTCCATTGAAATACGTTGCCATCTAAGCCGCTGGAGACAAAGAATGAGTCATTCGGGGCCCATGTGATTGACTTGACACTGGAGTTGTGTCCTCTAAGTGATGTAACGGTCTTTGCGCTGTATGTTGAGATAACTTTTATAATTAAAGCGCCTGCAGCCAAAAGGTGGCCACCATTTGAGAAACTGACGCATGTACATGATAATGAATCCCATTTTGCTCGTAAAACAAGTGAGTCAAATGTCAAAGAATAAAGTAATAATTTGTCTGAAGTGCCAACAGCCAACAAATCTCCACTTGGATGGAAGGAACAGCTGTTAACAGGCTCTCTGAGTTTCTCTGATGCGATAACAGTCCTTTTCGCAAGGTTCCAAACTAATAATGTTCGATCTTGGCCGCCGCAAGTAGCCAATAATGGCTTTCTAGGGCATGTAGCGATAGCAACAATTGGCCCCATGTGGCATCTGATGGGTAATGGTGTAAATAAACCGTTGAATTGGTTCATTTCCGCTGCACCAATAACAGCATTAGTTTCAGAAACATCAATTGATGATTGTGTCTTCATGAATTCGTTTAATTCATCTTCTTGCTCGTTGTCGAGTTGTAGTTTTTCGCTTTGTTCTGCTTCCATTGCTTGTTTTATCTTCTCGAAAGCTTTATCAAGATGAAGGATGCCTGTATAAGAGTCATCGTATATAACAACAGCAAGATCTCCATCAGGTGATGGTGAAATTTCTGAGATAGAATTGATTGATAAATCAAGAGGGCCAAAATAGATTAAATGGGGCTCGCCTCCTGTTGCCTTGTAGTAGTATATCATGTTGTTATCAATTACGAAGACATTATTTCTAATTGTTCTGATAAAAGAAATATTTTTCGAAGGAGGTTCGATTGTATTAACATATTGATCGCTCATTATAGTAAGAATCTTATTATCTGAAACTAAAAGTAATAATCCTGGTATTCCTGGAACAAAACAGAATCTATCGTATTTTGTAAATCCAGGTGTTTCGATTTTCTTTAATTGTTTGTCGATTGTATTAATTAAACAAATTGAAACTGATTCCTCTGAGAAAAGTAAAAGTCTTGATGCATCTGCTGGATCAAATTGAATTAATTTTACGTTATTATCAATTGGAATGATTGCAGCCAGCGAAACTTGTCTACCCATCTTCCAGACGAAAACCCTGTTCTCGCCATCGCCTATACCTAATGCTGCGATTAAAGAAGCATCTGTTGAAAAAGTAAGAGATAAAAACTTAGCAATCTTTCCATGACGAAGATGTACGTGTGCAACTTGAGTTTCTGTATCATAAATAGATAATATACCGTTATTTGGTCGAAATACTTCTGATATAGCAATAAATTGACCGTTAGAAGTAACAGCTACATCGCATAATTTAATTACTTCTGCACAAGCTGACGTGAAACGCTCTGGAAATAAAAATTGCTGTGATCCTGTTTCAGTATGATACTGAGTAATGTGCATACCAACAGGATAGAAGAATTGACTTGATGAATTCCAGTGTACTGTCCCATTCTCAAGGAAATTAACGCCCAAAGCGGACACTGGCTCTAACCTGAGTCCAGTGTAGCTAGTCATCCTTGTACGTTATTTAATTTTTTTTTTTATTTTCAATGGGTAGAAAAAAAAATTACTTGTTTTCTATAAGGGATAATACTTCAGTCTATTAATAATCATCGACCAAAATTGTATCAAATAGGCATAACATTTGAAATATAGTAGTCTCATATAAGACGACATTGATAAACACTTGTTTTAATTAATCAAAAAATAATATAACAAAATTTTGCCAAAATAAGCTCAAAAAGAATAACAATGCTCAAATCAATTATATGTGCCTAAGGATGTCAATTCGGAAAATTGTTTTCATTTTAGGAGAATATAATTTTCCTTTTCGAAAATTTAAAAAGTGAGACGCGCAGGATTCGAACTTTTTTAAAAGTTGATTTAAATATATTCTAGTGTGGATTCTAAGGATAATATCATATTTAAAATAAGAATATACTAGTTTAGGTGGTATAATTTTTTTCGATAAATTTGAGAGCATGTACGTTTAGGGCATGAAAAGTGTCAATTCGCTCAGCGAAAGCTGAGCTAGCTTCGTTCTCGAAAGAATAGGGAAGGAGTGAAAGAGAGTGATACAGATATTGACACATTCATATCATTTCAACAAATTTTGATCAAATTGAAATGCAATGAAATTCAATTCACTTCATATCCTTCAGTCAGTACATTGACATCCTTCTACATCACAATGATAACTCGTGCATCAATAGTTCTACAACTAACTCAGAAAAAACAAGATTTTTCCTTCCAGCTTACAGCTTTTAAAAAGTTTCGATGATAAAAATCACTCTACTCTTGTTTATCGATATGTTGTGATAGTAGGTAAACGTATTCTTATCGATATTAATAAAAATATTTTTACGAAAATCTGAACCAATTACAGAGTTATTCATAAAGTTTATGATAACTGTAATTACTTCATCTTTGTTTAATATTTGAATAAACAATTTAATTTAATTTGCATAATTTTTTTTAGTTGAAAGACAGGAAACTTAGTTGAGTTTGTATTATTTTTATCGTTCAATTCATTGTATATGTGAGTGATCCAGATATTTAAGATATTTAGAAAAAATTTATTAATTTGATTAACAAATTTTAATCAAAATAGCAAAAATCTATTTGATAGCTGTAAGCAAATAATAATTTCTATTTCAACCAAAATCACTTATTTTCATCTAAACGTATAAAATTGTCAATTTTATGATAATAAATTTAAAATCTCATGAAATATAAAGGAGAGTAATATTTTTCAATTTTCTTTTTTTCTTTCTCTCAAATATTTTCTATTGGGAATTTTCTTGTTATCAAAAAATAATTTTAATATTTGTTTATTTCATTACATACAATAAAATTTTAAAAACTCTATTTCTTCACAAGAAAATTTTTTCCTTCATATGAAGAAACATTTTGTTCTCCATTTGATGTTGAGTCTAAATCTCGATTTTTGAATTTTCTTCTTTCCAAATTTCTTTTTTCCAAATTAGAAGTTTAATTCAAATTTTCAATAGTTTATATATTTTCTCAAACCGTCTTAGATTTTCTCACTTTTTAGGGATTTTCTCTCAAAATATACAAAAATAGTAATACCAATACATGTGTCTAATATACTTTAAAACCATCGTGATAAAATTCAAAAACGAAGAGTTCTTCTCTCCAAATTTTTTTCAAAATCAAAAAAATGAGATAAAAAAATACGTTTGGAAAATTCATTTTTAGCATTTTAGGAATTTTCTCACTTTTCTTCCAAATTGACATCCTTAATGTGCCAGAATGATAAGAATATTTTCAATATTCCGAAAAGTGACACTATCATATTGACACTTTTCTCACGATGTGGGAGGAAGTCTTTGTTCACTTTGATACGGATCCACCATGGTGTATCTGCTTTAAATCCCCTTCCTCATCGAAGATAACAATGAAAAAAATTGTACAGACCACTTTAGAGAGATATAATACAGATAAGAAAACAGAATATTCGATAGATGATTTTAACATATATAGAATAGATCAAAATGATACTGAAATATCACAAGAAACAGATTTAGATAAAGTTTTCGGAGAATTGCATAACGAAATTCTTCTTCGTCTTAAAAACAATAACGAATTTGAAGAGGAAGAAGACGATTTAATGCCGTATCAATTGGCATCCGAAGACGATCAGATCAAACTTCATAAAGCAGCAGAACTTCTTCTAAAAAATCGAAATTATGTTCAAAGTTTATCAACATATCGATTAACGAGCCTTCCACCAAGCAGGCAAGCAATACAATTATTCGTAGAAAACGATCTAAGTAAAAGATTTCAGCCCGAAAGCCAAAATACAGAAAGTATAAATCCATTTTCTCATTTTTCTTTTAACAGATTATTAACAGAGCTTGACAGCCTTTATCCAGTCCAGAAGAAAGGAGATTTACTGGTAGAAATCATCAAAAGGAATGCGAATGCTGGAATTGACTGTCTATTTCAAGAACCAGAGTTATTCATGTTAATTCCGAAGATTTACCAAGATATACCAGACATTACATCCAAAATCATCAAGAAAATACAGGAATCAAGCATAAAAACCAACGGAGTCGTTTGTATTCTTTCAATTATCGCAAAATCCAACTGTATCGACATATTTTGCCAAATTCTAACTACGTGCATTACAGTTGCTGACCTTTCTGCTAAGAGCTGCTACGAAATCGCATGGATTCTATATCAATACAGAAGATCAGATATCTTGATTCCGATTGTCGACCATTGGCTTGGCGAAATCAACAATCGTGTTGACGAATCACTCCATATTTGTTTAGTTCACGGCGCACTCGGTCTAATTTGCTCTTTTCCACCTGTTGACGACAGATTTTCTGCTCTTTCGAAAAAACAGTTTGATTACAGCAAAATAACAGAAACAGAGCTATATACAATCCGTATTATCATTGTAGCTGCCTTGTTAATCTACGAGGAAGGCTTTTTAGGTGCTTTTTCCGCAATTATCGATGCAATTAAAAACATCATCGATATTGGTGTTTATTTTTTGCGGGAATATCCAGAATGGCAGCTTATTACAACATCCATTAAATGCGCATCCCGTGTTAACATGACACCGCGCTTTCCTACCTCTGTTTTCGTGATTGGTGATGAATATTCGATCATTGCAAATTACAGGATCATGAAACCATTTGGAACTTGTTTTTCTCATTCGATTCGAGGTCTTTCTTTGATGTCTTTGAGGACACAGACACAACAGAGAGACATGTTCGTGAATGTGCTTGAATCTATACAACCATTCGATGTAATTTTCTTGTTTCTTGGAACAGTTGACATCGAAAAAGAACTTCCAAAGATGTTGCAAGAAGGAGACACAGATTCTGTTGTTTCCCAGTTAGAAGAATTGGCTGTGATAATGGGAGAAACTGTGGAAGAGATTAAAAATAGATTCCCTGGTAAGAAGATATTTGTACATAAAGTATTGACACCTGTACAAGAAGCTCTTCAGATTTCAAAGTATTTCAACGAAAGAATACAATTGGAACTGTCTGAAAACGCTTCTTTTGTTGATTTACACCTGCCGCCACTTTATAACTCTGTGGATATGATCGGTGGGGATATTCAAGATGACTGGCCTGATAAATACGCAAAGGCTTTCTTTAACGAGTTCTCTGAAAATAGGTCTTCAAAGAAAAAATAAATTGTTTGTTTATTTCTAACATGATTTTTATAATATTTTTTCAGAGTTCACTTACGACTTTAATACATTGAATATTAACTTAAAGCAAAAGAATTGAAGGATATGTCATACTGTGGTTTGTGCACCATTAATCATTGTTTTAATATATTTTTAATTACTTTTTAGTTATTCTCTGAATGGGTCAGAAAGTTGTAATTCATACAATCCTCAATCATATAAGATACCTTTATCACTTCAATGCAGAATATCTCGTGAAATTGTATAGAGATTATTAAAATATTGGGCTTTTTTAAAAGTCATTTCATTTGAGAGAAAAGCACAAATGCGCAATGTCAAAATCGTGAAGGAAATCTTGAGTTAATTATTACCAAATATAATATGATATCTTGCAAAAAAAAAACTGGATGGTATATCAATAAAAACTATTAAATTACTATGCTTGTTAAATCAATTCGTTTACTACATGTATTAGAAGTCAAGTCTCTTAAATTTGCTATCATTATGAATCAATGAATATTTGGTCAACTTAATGGTGAAATAAATTATATTTATAGATCAAAAACAAAGATATTTATTTACAATATAAAAAACAATTAATTAGATTCAGGAACTTCGATTTTTCCTTTTGCAAGTTTGTTGATATTATCAAGAGTTTCTCTAGAAGTGCTATTAACAATAGTTTGGATGTAAATGTCTCTTGATGCGTGTCTTTTATCAAGATATCTATCAAACTCAACTTGTGGAACATCCAAAACAATTCTAGAGAACTCAATAAGTCCTAACGAAGCAATATTTTCAAGAACATCCGAAGAAACTTTGTCCAAAGTATCCCAAAACAGAGATTCATCAACTGGATGTCTGTTTATCAGAAGATCTCTTACTACATTCACATACTCTTTCTCAAGGAGATCCTTCATGCCACCGCAAGATTTGCAGTAAGCACCAAGTCTCCACCAAAATTCACGTCGTGGATGTAAAGCAGTTGGATCTTTTTTGGCGGTTTTGACAGCAACTTCCCACATTGATTTCTTTTTGTATTTTCCTTTTCCTATCAATCCTGAATGAATTCTCTTGCAGTCTTCTTCAAGAAGCTTCAAGTAGTTCTCGAACACTTCTTTGGATTCGAATGTTTTCTTGATCATCCTTCTTCTATTGATTAATTTCTTGTCAATCTCTTTCTTTTCGTCTTCAACAAGATTATCCCAGTGTTTAGTGAATGCACGTAACTCGGCAACATCATTCCTAGTGAAAGGAAGTTTATCGGCAGTGAATAAAATGTCATCTTGTTTAGATTCAACCAAAGTTGACTTAGGATCGATTTCAACACTTGCGTCATCATCATTGTTCAATGATAATGAGGATTCAAAGAAGTTTGAACCGGCAAACATTGCATTTGAGCCCAATCCAAATGCTTTTTGTTCTTGTTGAGGGTCTGCATCGAATAATTTCAGGGGAAAATCTTGTTCTGCATTTTTCGGAACGAATGGTTTACCAACTGTTGGGTCGAAGTACTTCTTAAGACATTTCTGGCATGTGTCCTCGTCTTCTGGTGATATCTTGAAGAAGTTATCTGGTTTTAATGTTGGTCTTTCCGAAATTTTCAGTGGAACGAATGGAGAATCATCAGTTTTCGCTGCTTCGACCTCTTCATTGGAAAGAGATGCGAAATGTAATTCACGAATAAGACTTGATTGATTGCCTGCAACTGGTTTTCTTGGTCCTGATATTCCTGTAACGCGTTTGCCTTCGTCTTTTGGCTTATCATTTATATCTGATATGTCATCCTCGAAGACTTGACTTTGAAAATATGGAATTGCGCCACCAAATGTCTGTAAATAGGCATCTGGAGGAATAATTGTTGTATATTTAGGTGGAAGTCGCTGTCTTGTTGTTGCACGACGCTTGAGAGTACTTGATTCTGTTGATGCTGATAATTTGGGTCCATTGTCTTTGATTTTAAAGCGTAATTCTTCAGTTTTATTTGTAAGAGAATCGTTGATATCTTTTGAATTTAACGCAATGAACTGTTTTTCGGCAAATGAACGTGTATCTGGATCGTTTATATCATATTCTGGGTATTTTGTTGCAAATCCTTTATACATTTTGTTATAATCTTTGGCATATGGCCTGTTAACAAGAACATTAACCATATTGTCAATTGGAGATGGCTTTGATGGATCTAAAGCTGGTGGTAATGTGCCATAAATTGGCAAACCCATTTCAATTTGCCTCAAAGGTCCATCAGAAATCCAAGATGACTTTTCAGCCATACCTTCTGTACCGCCCTCGTCTAGATTTACGGGCCTGAGTTGAAATTTTGCTTTGTTATCAGGCTTATATGGAAAAATCGCTTGTCGCATTACACAAAAATTTTTTCTTTCTTACAACGTGTTTTTTTCAAAGGTAGTAATGGTGTAAGACCCTTTAAAAGATAAATATTCGATTGCTTTTTTTGGAGTTATCTTAGCACAAAATAACATGTGTTATGTAAGCAAGTAATATATTTAGTGTTAAATCAAATCCTACGATTATTTTTTCGGTGACTTTTCTATAGCGAAAATGAACCTTGACACTTTTGAATACTAAAATGAATACTCAAGGCATTATTCAAGCCCAAATAGATAGATGCGCTCGCGAAGGTCTTCCTGTAACACCAGTTGACCAATTTACATTTACAATCACAATTGGAAGCACAACATACACACTTAAACTTAGTCCAAAGTATCCACAAGAAGGACCAAAAATTCTTCGCGGTAAAAACGAGCTCCCATGTCCAATTTCTCAATCCTGGAATTCTGCATTTACAATGTTTGACATTATTAACCATCTTCGTATCAACGAAGGTTATGATACAGCGTATGCTACACAAAAATGCAAGCTTGATGTAGATGAAGTTAAAGCAGCCGTTAGCAGGGCTGGCATTAATCAAGTTTCAACAGCTAGTGGCAGAGAAGCCGTCATTGTTCAATGCAAATCAGTTCGTCAAGCAAAAGATAAGATGAAATCTGTTCAAGATCGTAAGCGCGCAGCCGAAACCAGATTAGGTACAATTTTCAATGAATTATTTGATCTCAAAGATGAAGTCGACAATTTACAAAAGAATCGCGAGTCATTGCAAGGCGAAGCCTCCAGATATTCAAAGGATCCACAGCAAATTAATGCAGAATCAATGAAAGCAAAGGTTAGATCATTGAAGGAACAAAATGATGTTATTGATGCTGAACTTGACTCCCTCAGAACTGCTCTTGCCAGCCAACAAATTAAGCCAGAGCAATTCGCTTTAGATTATAAGGCAAAGATGCAATTGAAATTAAAGAACAAGAAGCTTATCGAGAGCTTGAAATAAAATGCATAAACTATAAAAGTATTTGAGATGTCTAATTAAAAGGTTATTATTCTATTTTAAAAATCTAAAAAAAAACATTAATAAACTAGTTAAAAACACTTTATTTAGGATTGATTTAAGCAAAACAAAACATTTAATTAGGAAAAGGTCTAAAATACAAAACAAATAAAAATATTATTTCTTTGTTCCAAGTGATTTTTCAATTTTTGATACTCTATCGTCCAGATTCTTAAGTTTACAAAGAAGATCCATATATATAGTGTTCATTTGTTGACTCATATTTTCAAAACATCCGCGCATGAAGTTTTTAAGTTCTGCAACTTCAGGTTTGCTATTTTGATCATCTGATCCGGAATCAGAAACGAAAGAATATACTTCAGATTCCGGATTTTTCTGATTTTTATCTGATTTCTTTTCTGGCTTTTCTTCTGGCTTATTATTGGTGAAATCTGGCTCTTGTATATTAAATTTTGGTGATGAAGGAATTCTAGGAGGTGTTTGAGCAATATCTTGAATCTTCTTCTCTTGTGCCTTTTGTTTTGTCAAATCATCAACTGTTATGCTTGTTTCTGATATCTGTGGCTCTTGTATCTGTGTTGTTTCTGATTTCTCTTCAAGTTTTTCCATGTTGATATTTGTATCAACGTTTTTCTCAACAATTTGTTTTCTTCTGGTTATAAAACGCTTTGTTTCTGTTTTTGTTGGTTCTTGACTTATAACTTTTGTTTCAATTTCATCAGGTCTAAAATCAGGAAAAGGTTTTGTTTTTGTTACAGTTGTTGTAGTTGTTGTTCTTTCTTCTGTGAATACCATTTTCCCTGTTTCTTCCGCTTTCTTTTGTATTGATGCTGCAATTGATGCGACATCAACTCCATTTCTTGTTGGAAGTGTTTCATCAAGCTGTGCAAAAGCAATAGGGCATGTAGATTGCTGGCTTGTACCAAACTGCATTACTTTCTCCGGATCCTGTTGAATACAATATATTGCTTCATCTTTTACTCCAATTGCAACATATTCACAACTCTGATCATAACAAGCGGAAACAATTGGTCCTGTAAAGTTTCTGGTACTGCGAAGAGTGAAGTCTGTCTTTTCGTATACATTGAAGTTACCACTCTGAAAACCAACAGCAAATGTCTGACTTAATTGTGGAGAACAAGTAATTGTGAGTGGAATATCATCTTTAGTCGCACAGCTTTCTGTATGAGCTCTTGATATGTCGTGTATCCAAATTCCGAGATTTGTTGCAATTATAAGTGCGTTTTTTGTTTCATCATATTTTATGTCATTAACTCGACCGTTTTTTGATGTCCAACTTGGTAAAATTCCTACTTTACTATCTATTTTGAAATAGAATTTACTGATTTTGCCTAATTCATCGCCACCAAAATAAGCAAGTGGTTCTTCTGAACATGCTACTGCAGTAATGGTATGTCTATGTCCCTTATGAGAGCCAATAAGTTTTACTTCTGGGAATTTCGATATGTCAAACAATGCAATTTTTTGCGTATCATCAGATATGACTGCGTAATTTCCGTTTGGTGAAAGTTTAATCTTGGTAAGATTCTCCATTGGCATTTCTTTTGAAACAATAACTTTCGAAATGAAGTTGTATTCGTAAATTTTCTTGTCATTTGCAACAAAATAAAGCTTCTTTTGTTTCGGGTGAATATCCATTGAAGAAACTGTAACTCCATTAAGGTCGATACTTACTGGAATTATAGGATGTGAAATATCAAACATATTTATAGAGTGATCGCAGTAAACAAGCATTTTTCAGTGACAAATAATTTCTTTTTAAAAGATGAACGTTTAAAATATCATAATGCCTATTTCTTCAAATGTATATTGGATGCATGTATGGTTAGTAGAAAGCTAGAAAATTCTGGTTCCGTCTTTTGAAATATGATTGTTGATTTTATTAATAGATTTAAATTCAATTGGCGGAATGGTTTTAATTTACTTCAAGAATATATTAGCATGCTTGAATACAAATTATATGGAGCACTTATAATGCTTGAATTCAATGTGCACAAAATAACTGAAATCGTTATGACTAATAGTTTAGGATTAATTCATAATTGCAGTATTTATACATAAATTTAGCTATTTTCAATGAAAATTATGTATAACTCGCATAACAAAATTAATTTTCAGCCAAATGATGAAATATATCTCAAATTTTAGAATGTTTAGAAAATTTTGTTAAATGTAATATGATTTTTGTAATTATCTATCATTTTTATATTTACTTTGTGAAAGAATGTCACGCGACAGGAACGGAATATTGATTTCCGTTTCGTCAGTTTACGCAGATGTGAATCAAACTCGTGGGCCATCATGGTACGACCATAAGAATTTTGAACCAACTTGGAATTCACCTGAAAATTATGCATTAATCAAGAAAGTCGGCCGAGGAAAGTATTCAATTGTATTCAAAGCAATTCATAATCGAAGAACAGAGTGTGCGATTAAAATTTTAGTGCCTCTAGATCCAAAACGTTATAATAGAGAAATAAAAATATTGACAAATTTAAAAGGAGAACGAAATATATTACAACTTTACGATTTAATTAAAGATCCTGTGACAGGTGTTTATTCGTTTGTTTCTGAATGGGTCGAATTTTATGATTGGAGAAGTCTTTATTCCTCATTTTCAATAGATGATATCAGATTATATATGTACAAACTTATAGATGCGCTTGATACTTCCCATTCTCATGGAATTATGCATAGAGATATAAAACCGCAAAATATTGCCATCGATAAAGAGCATCATAGGCTCAGATTACTAGATTGGGGTCTTGCAGACTTTTACCATCCAAAACAAGCATATAATTCCCATGTTGCTACTAGAGTTTTTAAACCTCCTGAATTATTATTTGCATATCCTTACTACGATTATTCTATGGATATTTGGTCGGCTGGTCTTACTTTGTCGATCATGATGTTCAAGAGAATACCTATAGAATGCGGTGAAGATGATACTGAGCAATTATTAAAAGTTGCAGAACTCGTAGGCGGAAAAGGAATCATCGAATACGCAGATAGTCTTGGTATGAAGCTTGAAGAATCTACTAAGAACGCTCTACTTAAAAAGAGAGGAACAGGATGGCAAAAACATGTTGCAAAAGCTTCTCCTGACCTTTGTCCACCAGATGCTGTTGATTTGCTACAGAGAATGACAGCAATTGATCATCGCCAAAGAGTTACAGCTCATGATGCTTTGAAACATCCTTTCTTTAAGCCTCTTTTCAAATGATATATATTTCTTATTGTATATTAGTTTATTTTGTTTTTCTTTTGATCTAAATTGATGTTTATTTACTATTATAATCAATAATCAAATCAAATTGCTTTCAATTTTAAATTATCAAAGTGATTGGCCTTCTAATTTAAAAGGATATTAATAACTATTAGTCTTGTATATATCAAAAACTAGCTCAGAAAGATCAAAATATTATGGGAGTTGGAGAATCAGTTGAAGAGACTCCCCCTGATTTTTTTAATGGACTGCTGACCAATGACATTAAACTTAATGATCCTATATGCAAAGCAATTTTCTCATCGAGATTATTAACTCACACGAGTTTATCAAATAATATTTTGACAAGAGTTGCTAGAACGAAGCCAAATAATGTTCGAGTACTAGCCTATCAATCTGTATTCTCTATAAATCGTATTTCGCAAATACAATATCAAACAGAAATTCCTCAATCATTATTAATTTCCTGTTACAATTCATTTTTAGTATTGCAACGCTTTTGTTCATCTGTTGTCTCGAAATGGCATACATGGCCTTCTCCTTCCACAATGTCTAACTCAATTCCATCCGTTTTATTTGATTCTGCAGTCACAATTCTTGGTCATCCTCAAATACGCGATGCACCAGATTCTACTCTACAAGGTCATGTTCGCCTTGAAATATTTTCTACGATGCTGATGTTTTTATTGTCACCAAATCAAGAAATATATGAAAACTATCCTAACCATCATTACTATGCATTAGATATGACTAACCCAATGCCCATTATCAATACAGTTATAAATGTAAGGAAGCACAGCCCTAGTTTTGCCAGAATTGTTTTAATATTATGCTCTACCGGTCTTGGTTTTTGTCAATCATGGGTTGAAATGCTCTCAGACTTTCAATTCTCATCTATATTCCCTATTTTTGATCCATTACTTACACCTCCAACAGAATCTCAATTATCTCTATCAAATAGTCAAAGTCCAGGCATTTATTTAGAATTATTTGCTCTTTTCTATCAAATTCTATTGTTGCCGTATGATGTTGTCGAATCATTACCTAAAGGTCGACAATTTGTTGTTTCTGTTTTATTACCTTTGCAACAATTCAACGAAAAGAATTCTTTGACTTATTTTCATTCCCTTGCATTAAGTACTTTGGTACTATTGACATCAGATCCTGCTCTTTCTGCTTCTTTAAACGAACCATTCACTGGAACTTTTGCTTGTAAAAGTTCAGTTCACAGAGGAACATATGCAGATTTATTAGTTGAAATCATTACAAATACAACAGGTAGTGATTTATCAAGAACAGCTCCTCTTCTTCCTGCTGTTGCTTGTATCATTCATAATATTTCTGCACATGTTAATTCTTTTTCATTTTTTACATCAAACAGATTGTTTATTTTCTTGAATCAATTGATAGAAAGCAGAGACAGACAAGCACCTAAGCTTGTACAGATAGTTATTGATGGTATCAACCAGATTATCTCTGAACAATTCGAACATAATACAACAATATTAATGTTCGTTGTCAGGAATCAAAATACTTTCAAAATGTTGAGACAAAAAGGGCTGGATGTAAAATATATTTTGGCATTTATATCGGCTTTTAAGCAGAAAGTGAAACAGAATGGAATCGTGAAATTAGGAACAGATATAGCAGAACAGATACTGAAATCTCTGAATCCTAAACAGTTCATGGATGGATATGAACCTCCTGGACCAAGAGGACACGTTTTTACAGGAGAAATGGCAGGATTATGGGCAGATTGGATGAGAACTTTGGCAATGAGAGGAGATTTTAAAGGAGATTTCGCCTAATTTTTAATATTTCTCTTTTGTATTTTGTTTATTATTGTTAGTTAAACATCAATTTGTTTATTACATGATCGTGTTATGTATTTAAAAGATGAAACAACTTAAAGATTCTCTCCAATACTTGCACAATTCCGCCCAAAACTGGTTCCTTCGAGCACAACTCGCGTATGGAGACCATCTCTTATCCAACAAGAAGGTTCTTGATGAAGCGCGAGTATACAAACAAGCTGCCGACATCGGAAACTCCGAAGCATAAGTGAATTATGGAGATTTAATTCTCCAAAACAAAGCAGGAAAATCCCTCTGAGCGATGCCAAAAACTTCAAAATGGCTGCAGAACAGAACCATCCTTTAGCACTCTACAAACTAGTTGTTGTTTGCGAAGGAGTCGCTGTAGAACCTGTCCATTCCAGAAAGCTTTAGGTTACTACAGGCAAGCAATGAATTTAGGTGTCTAAAAAGCAACTTTGAAAGTAGCAATAAATTGAATTGTGGGGGAAAAAATTGAATTGTGTGGTGAAAAAAATTGAATCGTCGAAAAAAATGAATAGCGTGTAAAAGAGTGTAGTAACAATTCCAATTTTTTTATCATATTTTTTGTAAAGTTATGAAATTTAAAAAGTAGATCAGGACATGAATCTGCATTATGAATACATTGCTGCTCATATCAGCGATGATATTAAAAGTGAAAACTTCTTCGATACATTTGGCATAGAAGATATTAAACAAATCATGAAATATTCAAATTTAACAGCAAATCAATACATTACACTTCTCAAACAATCTTCTACAACTATCAGCGCCAAAAACTTATATGAATGTACACGAAATGCGAATGTTACTATCCAAAACATGGAAGAGATCGTTTCAACTCTGAAATCTATCAAAAAATACATGAAATTCAATATATTTGATGGTATCATTGATATTTTGGATCAAAAAGAGAAAGAAATACCTCTTTCTACAGAAGAAATTCAAAAAAATCAAGCAAAATTAACAGAAATTCAAAATCCAAGACATAATGCGGCCAAAGAAACAAACGTCAATCAAATTAATTTGTCTCTAGAGAGATTTTTACTAAAATGGCAGAACTTAAGAAATCTAGTAATTTTGAAAGCGTTTATAAATTCTTTGAGGAACTTTCTGCTAAAAGAAATCACGAAATGATTCAAAAAGCCTGCGAAGAAGGACTTTGGAAAAAGACAAATAAGTATGATAATAATGTACTTCATACAGCATGTGAAAAAGGAAATCTCGGACTTGTCAAATCACTCATCGAATGCGGTTGTGATAAAGAAGCAAAGAATAATTGTGGAAAAACTCCACTAATTCGTGCATCAGAAAAAGGTCATCTTGAAGTTGTTAAATATCTTATCTCTATTGGAGCTGATAAAGAAGCAAAGAATAATAATGGATCTACTCCACTCATTTGTGCTTCATCTGATGGTTATCTTGAAGTTGTTAGATATCTTATCTCTGCTGGAGCTGATAAAGAAGTAAAGGATAATGATGGATATACTCCACTCCTTTTTGCATCAGAAAAAGGTCATCTTGAAGTTGTTAAATATCTTATCTCTGCTGGAGCTGATAAAGAAGTAAAGGCTAATGGTGGATATACTCCACTCATTTGTGCATCATGGTATGGTTGTCTTGAAGTTGTTAAATATCTTATCTCTATTGGAGCTGATAAAGAAGCAAAGAATGATTATGGATGGACTCCACTCCTTTTTGCATCAGAAAAAGGTCATCTTGAAGTTGTTAAATATCTTATCTCTGTTGGAGCTGATAAAGTAGCAAAGGATAATGATGGATATACTCCACTCCTTTTTGCATCAGAAAAAGGTCATCTTGAAGTTGTTAAATATCTTATCTCTGCTGGAGCTGATAAAGAAGTAAAGGCTAATGGTGGATATACTCCACTCATTTGTGCATCATGGTATGGTTGTCTTGAAGTTGTTAAATATCTTATCTCTATTGGAGCTGATAAAGAAGCAAAGAATGATTATGGATGGACTCCACTCCTTTTTGCATCAGAAAAAGGTCATCTTGAAGTTGTTAAATATCTTATCTCTGTTGGAGCTAATCAAGAAGCAAAGAATAAAGAAGGAAAAACTGCATTCGAAGTTGCAAAAGGTAATGTAAGAAATTTCCTAAAAGTTTATGTTTAAATCCGTTACATCAAAAGATAGATATTTATCTATATTTTAATGCTATTATGCTATGAACATATAAATTACTAGTGCTACTACGTTATTAATTTTGTATCAATATTATAATTTTTTGACAGAATATATTATGATAACAATATATATAAACAAATGCATAGTGGAAGCGTAATGTGTATTTATCAGAATATAATGATTTAAAGCTTTCCTATCAGTGACACAATATGTTTGATCTATGTTTCACAATAATGCTTAATATTATTGCGAATTATACACTAAATGATTGATAATCTTATTATTTATATCACATTTGTGTTTAACACTACTATAATCAAAAATATCACTAATTTGCCTTTAGCTGGAAATTGTGAAGTTAATCTTATCTTCTGATTAAAAAAATATGATACAAATAATATTTTATTAAAATACAAACAAAAATAATTAATTTCTATATGAATCTCTTGCTGACTTGTAGTAGCTATCTCCTTCTTCCCAAGCTTTGTTTAATATGAGATATTTGTAATTCATGTCAGTAAAACCGTAAGAAAATGCACAGAAGTGATAAAAGAAAATAACTCCTACAAATATTATAACAGCAGCGGCGTATCCTTGATAATATTTCGGGAAAATTAATTCCAAGCAACACCCCAAATTCAAGCATCCGACATAAAGAGGAAGAACATAATGATACAAATATAATGTGCGAGGAACAAGATAAAATGGAAAATAACATGTCATCCATCCTATAACATATCTCAAACAAAGATAATACTTTTCTTTTCCAACTGAAAAAATTGTTACAAAAAGTGACAAAAATGTCAAATAATTAACAATTGGATTTCCAAGGACAGATATTTGTCCTTTTGAAAACCAGAAGTCAACAGCATGTCCTGTTAATAATGGCCAGTTAAACGGACGACTCTGGGACGAGTGGAATGATTTAATGTAATTATTTGCTCGATTTTGGTCGTAAAAAACTCGAACAGCTCTTCTCAACAACATAGGAGACGCAATTCTTTTTGTTCTGAGTTGTGCGTCCATGATATAGTTGTCTAGCAAGGTAAACTTGAAATCGAAGTCAACGAAGATGATGCCTGGACCAAAAAGAGGTAAAACAATAACATGAATTGCAAATGAAAGAATTATAAAGAAAAAACATGGAATTGCAAGAAGCAATCCTCTGTATAATATATCTCGTATGGCGGAGTAATCGAATTTCTTATGGATTCCCAACACGCGTAAGATTTCGATGATTCCCGAATATCCCATGAAACCCCATGCAGTATCTTTGCAAGAACCACATGCTCCGAGAGCTAGTCCAGAGACAATCTCCATGATTATCCATTTCGTGGAATATTCTGGCAATGTAAGAGTATAAGAATAAATCGCGAGAAATAAACAAGAAAAGAAGTGTAATATTGCATCACTTAGAATAAATCTGTGCTGTGTTAATGATATCGTGTCAAGCATGACATATACTGCAGAAACTAGGCTAGCAGAGAAATTAAATCCTCCAAATCTAGCCGTGAGATAGATTAATGGAGGACATAGCCCTCCAAAGAAGGCAGGTATAGATCTTAAGATAAGATAATCTTCAGATTGATAATGATAACTGTATTCCGCATTAAAATCAATGGATCCGTCATATTCAGCTAAATACGCTATGAAAGCCATTAGCATTTTACCAAATGGCGGATGAATATCGAAGAAAAATGTCTCCTTTATGTAAAAATTTGTGAAATTTCCAAAGTAAACTTCGTCAAAAACAATTTCAGCAGGATGTCCAAGCATCCAAAATCTTGAAATAATCGAAGCCATTGTAATGATAAATAAAGTAATGGAATCTCTTGTATTGAGGTGCTGCTGTTGAGGTGAGGGAATTCGCAGCATCTGTCACTTTTTTGAAATCAAAAAAATGGCATCAACTTATCCATATCAAAATCATGACCAAATATCGTTCATTCTTGGACATAAAGAATACCCATAGATTTAAACCATATAAAGGTATCTACAACCGAGAGTTTTGCATATAAAAATCTCTTTTCATATGTAAAAACGGCGATAATTATGATGAAGATAGTTTTCAAAAAAAAAAAACTATGCATCAAAGTCAGCTCCTATTGTACATTTCATTAAACACCTGGTAAATTTTTAGCGAGACTCGGCCTAACTAATCCTTCAATATTTAGTTGAGTTTTCAATTTGTTGCCTTGCTTGCTGATTTTCTCCATTTCTTTCTTCTTCTTGCCGTTACATTCTTTCTGACAATACCCTCTTCCCATAATTGCCATACATCCTCTTCTCATTAAATCTATCAAAATTGATTTTGAAATTGATACGTAATTAATTAACTCATTTGTATAATGGTAATGTCATAATATGGTAATCACTATAGTATAATATTCAAGAAATTTGTTTAAAAAAAGAATTTTATATCAAAAACGATTTTTATAACAAACAAACAATAATATAATAAAGATTAATGCTGAGAAACCATTTTGAGATCATTCATCCAGTCATCGAAGTTCTTTGGACCTCCATCTTCGTACATTCTTTTTGTTGCGTAAAGATTTCCTTCATTAGAATTCAGGATTTCGACAGGGAGATATTTTCCTGATATATTCATCATTTTTTCTGTTTTTCCAACAAATTCCTTTGAATTAACAATTGTTGGGATTAAATCCGAATTTTGCTGTGGATATCCCCAAACAACAATCCTGTTATGTTCATGCAAGGCGAAAACTCCATCGCAAATGTTCTGTTTTCTCAATCTAAGAACGTTATAAGTTTTTAGATCAATAAGTCTTGGATAAATGAAGAGTAAGCAGTCAATTGCACTCATCATTCTGATGTTAAGAACATTTGCAATCCTTGCATCGATCAAATCGAACGAGGAATTGGAAATAATTTCATTTTGGCTCAAAGCATGAACAATTGAGTACATTGAATGAAATTCAGCTCCTCTCTTGGCCAATTCGGTCAAAAGCCACATTAATTCGGACGATGCTTTAGCTTTTCCGCTGTTTAATAAGCAAGTAACGGAATGCTTAGCAAAAAAAGCTGTTAAAGCAAGTTCGTCGAGTGACTTCATCATCTGTGGGATGGAACAAGCAATCGGGATTGAGAAATTGAAGATTCTGACGTAATAATGCGAAGGACCCATTGACCAAAGTAGAGCTGCTTGGAATATTGCATTGGTTATGGGTTGTGTGATGGTCAGAGCAAATGTTATTGCAGCATCCGATGTAAGAATCGGGAAATAGGCCGTTTCATCCTGATTTGTTAAATTTCCAAACGTTTTTCTGATCTGGATTCCAGGACTGCAGCGGAATTTCATGGAGCAATTCCATTTGTATCTGTCAATCATCGTGTAGAAAAGGTCGTTGTTCAGTTTCACTGGATCAAAATTATTATAAAAATGACATTTTCCACCTGTGAGGCCACAAACAGCACCAATGATTGCGATCTCTGTATGGCTAGTGGAATATGCAAATAAATGTACTGAAATTCCTCTTCTGTTCAATTTGAGAGATAATTTTGAAAATTTTTCACCGATTTCATCACCTGGTGAAATATTGAGAAGCTCTTTTTCCGAAATGGTCGGATTCGTCTCAATTCTGCTTTGAACTGCTAATGGACCTGAATTTGGACATCCACAGCAGCTAGCAACAATAACTCCACCATAAACACGTAGTATGGAGCCAGCAACAGACAAAGCACTACCGAAACAGTTGATTTTCGATGTCGGTTGTCGTAATAACAATTTATCAAATAAAATCATGAGTTTTTCTCTGACATTACCAAGTAACGGAATGTAGTTTGGTGTTCCAACAAAACCAATAGGGTCTGGGATGATTGTTTCTTTCATATTCTGTATATCGAATACAGAAACAAAATTGCCGCTTGTAACCAAGCTAATTGACGTCGAATCTGGTAATTTCTCGATAGTTATTTTCAGAGTCTGAATGAATTGCTTTGTGAACCCTGATAAAATTGCGTTTTCTGATATGTCAATTATAAATAGAAAGGATTTCGTGATTTGTGGACGCTTTATATAGGATCTTGGGGCTTTCATGTCATATACCGAACATGTCAATTCTTTAAAATTTGAGTAATTTCTCAAATATCTTGGTGTAAATTTTGTTGTATTGCCGCAAATTGCGCATTTCCAACTCCTCTGATCATATGATAGAGTGCAAAAGCAAGACAGATAAGCAGAGCATTTTGAACACCTTGGAATTTCCGTATGCGAAAAATCAATCATCGGAACATTTGTAACTCGTCCTGGATCAATCACAATACCAAGAGGCATCAAGCAATCCTTCTCCAGCTCTGGTGTATTTGGCAAATACCGTGTAAAAGATCTGAAATATGATGGTAAGTTGTTGCACGAAGTCTCTGTTAATTTCGGATTTTCCCATGGGGATATGGGATCTATCACATGATGGTTGAACTCTTTCGAATGGGTTGCAGTGGCCGGCTGCAGCCCAATGAAGCGAAAGAGTCGCTTCATGCAAAATATTTACGGAATTTCGTATATTCAATTTTATCAAATTTTATCTAATAACGAGAGATTGAACAATACTGCTATATTTCGGAATATATTGTTTATTTATTATTCCGAATCCTCCTCAAAATTATTCAGAAATTGTGAATTAGACGGAAAATATTATAAATTCAGATATCGAACTAAAACCTGAGAAATTATGAATTTCAAGTGACATTTGGAATTCCATGAAATCAGAAATTGATTCCCTCTATTAGTTCTACCGAATTAAGAAATCTCTCCATAATATTTGGCATAAACAATATTTTTCGAAGATAAAATCAAAACATCCAGCCAATTCAGGTACCAACCATTACTGCATTAAATTCTAGTTAAAACATATGTAAAATGAAGTTCATTGATCGATTATTTTTTGAAGAATGCATATTTTATAACATTTACTGATTAAGAGCATATCGTAGGTATATCTAGTTAGATGTGTGTTTAAATAAGATATCTTTTAAGAATTTAAATTCAAAGAGAGTTAATAAAATCTCATATTTTAGTAATTAAATTAATTTAACAATCTACGTAGACTGGTTGTGTATATAAGTTGATCTATTGATGGCTGAGTGTTTTCTTTAAATGACGAGACGATATGTTACAACACGGCCGCAAGTTTCAGAGCGGCGAGTAATTTCGATAATTGCGCCTGGGTCAGCGCCGTAGTAGCGAACGACAGGATCTGTACTTAATATCTGAGGTAATTTTGTTTCATCAATTTTATATCTATTGAAAAGTTCGTTCTTTTCTTCGTTTGAAAGAACTTTGTGCTTTGGAACGAAGAAGTGCATGGTAATATTATATTGAAGCTCTTGGAGTGTGAATGTTTCGAGCTTTTTGCCGATTAAACGCAATTGTTTCTTAATGCGATCAAATATATGAGCCAATGATCCCTCTTGGTGGACCAAAATTAAATGTGTTATTGGCTTATCGGCGTTGGTGTAATATTTAAAGTAGTCTTCTTTGAAAGTTTTGTGTGTTAATTTATCCCTGAAATCGAATACGATTGCAAGTGCTTCTGTTGTAGTGTTATTTCTAAAATAGTGTGTATTTTTGATTGAATCGTAAGTTGCTTCGAATTCATCAATTTCCATTTCATCTGTTATAACCGAGAAAATTTCATCATCATCGAGTGATTCATATTGGCGAGCAGCCATCATTTGGGAAATAACCCTGCAGGCCTTCAAGCATTTGTTTATCATTTCTGGAGATTTGTCGACGCCCTCAGCCATTTTGCAGATGTCACTTTTAGTCTGAAGTTGTTATTTGGCGCTATTTTCTTCCAATAAAGGCCAATAAGTATATAACGACTTGAATTATTGAATGAATCTGTAAATAGACAGTTCTGATGCCTAAATTACGTCAAATTAAGTTAATCATCTCAATTACACAATACATGTTTCGCATCTGGATATAAATGTTTATGATAATCTAATCTTATAGTAAATTCATATCAAAAACAAATAATCAATTTTTCATAATAGTATTCTTGCACATATCTCATTCAAAAGCAAGTATCTGGTTATTACACTAGTATGTGAACTCGTTTTATGGTGAAACATAGTAGTTTTTCATAATGGAGTTGCGAGAAGCATCACTTACCCTTGGAAATGCCTTCGATATTGTTGTGAAAAACCACAACAAGTTAAAGGGAAGCAAGGAAAAAGTTCTTGAAGAGGCTTGTTCTAGTATATTACTCAGTGTTTCAGAAAAACCAAAATCCATTTTAGGTCCGATCTGCGAACAATTAACAAGAACTACCAGTAAGAAGCGTAGATTACCATATCTTAACGTTGCTGTTTGGATTCATGAAAAATTACTTCAAGAATTTGATAATTTCATCATTAAAACTATACAAGATTATGCAAAAAATAAAGAAGATCGTAGAGTTGCCATGGGTGTTTGCATTTTGATACGTTCACTTGCCATAGTTTCATGTGCATCAAGACTTCTTGAACCACTTTCAACAATTATCGGTCAATTTACATCAGAAAATCCATCTTTATTCGAAATGGAGTTCTTTAACACATTTATTTTCATTGCTACTGTTAAAGAAGGAGATTATTCAACATTAAAACCAGCAATTTTATGCTACATCACATGGTTCCAGAAGCTTCATCCTATTTCTTCAGTTTCAGCACATCGTTTACTGATCGAACTTGAAAATGATTATACATATAATACAATGATTGATAAATTACGTACAGATATTGCTCCATCATCAGATAATATCAAACAGTCTTGGACTTGTATTGCTGCCAAACCATTTGATGATGTCAAAAACTGGGTATTACTTGGTTTGCAGCTTGGTCGATTCGAAGATGAGCGAATTCGATCTGAAATCGCAAATATTTCATCAGAAAAAGGTCAGTTTTCATCGATTATCTCGGTTGCTCTATCCACAAACAACGATACCATAAGAGAAGTTGCCAGATCTATTTTCAGATTCGGAATACATGGCCAAGAAGCTGCCGCCTTCGATCCAAACTCCCTCAGTCAAATTCTCGAGCAATCAGATGACTTAACAGGCATTGCTCTCACTTTTCTTTCCGAAATGGCTTTGGCAAATGCCAAAGAATGTCTTCCACAGCTATTTCCTTTGTTATCTTCCGATAAACCTGTTGCCAGAAAGAACGCATTAAGTCTTCTTCAGAAAGTAGTTGATGGACACGTTGGTCAAGAGATAAGACAGATGATTTGCGCCAATCTTTTGCCAATGATTGGTGATGAATCAATAACTGTCAGAGTAGATATTCCGAAATTGTTTTCTGGTGTCAAACCGCAATCAGTTGTTCCATCTCTGATTAAAATGCTTGGAGATAGTTCGGAGAAGAAAAGATCAACGGCAACTGAATGTCTCAAGAAGATCATGCAGTCAACTGAAGAACCAGAAGATCTTCTAAGAGTATTCCTCGATACAGCTTTGAATCCTTCTCCGGTTCCTTTAACTCCTGGTTCAATAAATCCGATAACAAAAGAAGATGAAAAATGTAGAGACAGAAGTATCGAACTCGTCAATAAATGGGCACAGGAAACACAAGGAAGAATGATGTTGGATCCTAACCCTGTCCTCAACAGATTGTGGAATGACCCACAGAACTCTACAATCGCTAGTTTCATAGCAAAAGCTTCTCCAATGTTTGACAAAACTCGTTTATTGGCAGCGGTTTTGACAAAACTTAGAGAAAAACATGAAACTGTTTTTGACGGTTTGGCACCGTTACTTGTCTTACAAGGCCAGCCAGTTGACTTCTTCCTTCAGAGGGATGTCGTGGCCTCTCCTTTGTTCGATTTGTTGATGGATAAGCCAAAAGACGAAATCTCGAATATTGTTCATTTGAGAGGTGACATAATTGCAAGATTTAACCCGAATTTCGTCATCCCACAGCTCATAGATAGAGGATTGGAAGAGAAATTCCATCTTTACATCATTTGTAGATGTGGAATGATTCATGAAGGCGAAATACCAAATTATTTGTTTGATGAGATAAAGGAGAGATTCGAGAAAACGAAGATTAATGATGAGATGTTTATGCCGTACTGCGATTCCCTTTATTTCTCTGAAAAAGAAAAATATTTGGAATATGCAATGAATCAAACCGACACGAATTTGATGTTTACCATGGTATCGAATGCCTTCCAGAAATTTAATGAAGATGATGCAAGAAAATTCATTAAAACTGGAAAATTAGGTAAATTATTAAATGCAAAGTTTGATGATGAATATAATGCTGCAGCTGTGAACGCATTGTTCTTAATAACATTCCAAGCAAGATCTGAAGAAGCTCTTGAACCTTATTGGGATCAATTATTCGATATTATGGCATTCTTCTCTGATTCAAAGAATGCTGATGTAAGGTTTGCATCAATGAAATTGCTTGGTGCTTTGATAACAAACCCTGCAATGCAGACTCATTTGATCCACGTCCATGAGAAATTCCAGCACATTGTGGAGATTCACACTTACGAGTCTGAGGATCCACGTGTAAGGAAGATCGCACAAACATATGCGGATATGATGAAGCCTCAAGCGAAAATCCAAGAGATATAATGTTAGAATATTATTATTTTGTGAATAAAGTTGTATAAATTGATTTATAACGCATAATTTATTTATGGTCTATTGACATAATAAAAATATACTTTAAAGAACTGTATAATTCGGAATTTTCATTTAAATAAAAATATTTTATCATAAAATTACAAACAAATGGATATTTTAAGGTGGAAAAATAAAATATGTGTAATTATATATTTATTCTATGATTTTATTTTACTTAAAACGTAGTATATATCCATAAAACATTAAATCAATAAGGAAAAATTCCAAAAAAAATTGAATTCTAGAAAATGACTTGCAATTTCTACATGTTTATGTTTCAATTCATGATATCAGAATTTTTTTGGAAAGTGAAGTTACTCATGCAATAGATGAGCGTAGTAATTCACTCTGATTTATCGTGTGTCAGAGCATTTTAAGATATATCATTTGTTATCCATGTGCTTATTCAACAAACATCTGTAGAATATGGACTAGTCACACCAATGTTGTTGAGATACTCTTATAGATTTAGTCAGAGCTGAGAGATGATTTTTGAATTGAAAAATTTATGTAAAAATTCTATTTTTGATCAAAAATATATGATATAGAAACAATTTCAACAATATTGGAATTATTTTCCACCCATAAATTTTCCTAAGTTTACAAAAAAAAGTATTTGACCAATTTTAATTTACATAGAATGGAAGCTTTTCAGCAGAAATTTGAAACCCTCAAATCAATCATGGAAGCGCCAAAAATCGAGACAGAAAAGGCTATGATTGTTATCAAGGAACTTAGACTTAAAATGTTGAAGATACCATTTTTAAATGGAAATGATCAAGAAACATCTAACGATGTTAAAGTAATGCTCAGAACTATCTACGAATACGATGCAATTGTTAACTTGATGATTGGAAATCTTGCCTCTTTCTTCAGAACAATGGAGCTTCTTAAAATCGCTTACCACCAGCGCCAAGAACTTCCTCGCTCTCCAAAGATGGAAATACTTATTGGCGTATATCTCATTGCTCTATTAGCTGAGAACAGAACTGCAGATTTTAATGTAAGTTATGACGCAGCTCTTCTTTTGCTTGGTCAGCACCCAACATTAGAATATGCCGCCACAATGTACAAAGCTATTTCTGATAATTCATTCGCAACAATTTATTCTTTGAAGTCAAATCCACCTCATCAATTATACGATTATATCACTAGCAATATCATTAACGGAGCTAGACTTAGCCATGCAAATTCAATCAGAAATGCATACGAGAACCTTACTACACAAGAATTAGCCCAAATTCTTCATCTCGATTCTCCTGCAGAAGCTGCACAGTTTGCTTTAGCTAGAGGTTGGAGCCTCAATGCCGATCAGACACATATCATCTTCGGCAAAGAAAGCGCCAAACCACACTTCACTCAAGAATCTTTCTTGGGATCTGTCGACTATTGTGTTAAGGTATCATCCCTTGCTTAAACATTTATTTATATTACATTTGAACGCAATTTTTTAAAATAGATTTTTAAAATTTTATATAAAAATTAATTATTTCCAATCATTTGCTAATACAATGTAATGAATTTAATTGTTCACCTTGAGATAGAAATATCTACTTGTATCAAAATTTCTCAAAATACTTCTGTGAATCTGGAAAGATAGATTAATATACAAAAATATTCAATAGTTGTAAAACGTCAAATTTTAAAAATGAGTAATTTTACCAGATTTTCTGTATCAAGAAAACCTCGTGCGGATCCAATAAATGTCAAATATGCACCTACATTTATAGAACAATCCTCTGAAGCAGCAAAATACGTTTCATACGAAATTTCAATTCAAGAATCTTTCAGTTATGAAGTTCCAGGAAGCCCAAATTCAGCTTCAGAAGACGATGTTATTACTGTTGCAAGCGGCTCAGAAAATGATGTTGATATCATTGAATGATTTTCTTCATTTTTTTTATTATCTTAGTCTACTATGAATACTTTATTAAACCAATTTTACGATCGTGTTCTTTATTCAATCAATATTTTACTTATTTTCGAATGTATCTACCAAAATTTACTTTTGGATTTTCCTCGCTACGTAGGTCAAACTCGCAAAAACTATGAAACAACCATATAGAAGTTTCTGGAGTGTTCAAAGTTTATAATTATAAAAAATAAAAATAAAATTCAAAGGTAACTAAACTCCTTTCGCCGATCCGATTTGCTCCATATTTAAAATATAGCTTGCATATGTAGAAGAAAAGCTAATTTTGAAGTACGCCCGAAATCCACCAACAGGATTTCGAGCTACTAAAAAGGTACTTTTAAATGTGATTTTTTTTATAAAAAATTAAATTTATTTTAAGATCAGACTAAAAACTAATTTTATGGAAAATCTATATCGACAAATTTATTACTTATTGGGTATATAGATTTTTTGATTATGGCGATTATGTCTGATATGCTTCCAATAAGCCAAAACAGTGTTTTGGGAGTGATTAAATACAAAAAAATCTGGCGATGCTTTACGTGGCAAATGGTCGAATGGTTATTACCCCTTACTATTGGGTACCCGGGACGCTAGTTCGAAACTGATGCACTATATTTTTTTACAAAATGCGTTTATTAGGACAGGGTAAAGAAAGGTTGCCAATATAATATATTTAAATAAATACAACTAATCTAGCATAAAAAACTATTGAATATTTGAATTCAATAAAAATTTATATAAAATACATGTAAAGCATAAATTACTATATAAATCAAGCTGTATTTTGTTTTAAATACCGATTGTTTCATATAATATATATTCAACTCAAGTTTCTAATTAAGAATTTCATATAAAATTTAGCATATGATCAGCAACAATTAAAATTAGTATTACAATTAATAAATTTAGTATAAAAACATATAGATTTAGTATAGATTTTATAGCTGTAATAAAAGAACTATTATAAAAGAGTAATTTACTGAAATGCACCTTATATTTATAAACAAAACTTATAACGTGTTAGTTACATATAGAGTTGAAATTCATAGATAGCATAGAGAAGTTGGGATCTTGGCTTAATGGTCATAATATAACCAAATTAATTCAAAATTTGAAATTTTAATATTACTGTAACTATAATATATGGATATGTTTTATGAGATCATAATAAATGACATGTTAATGTAAAATTTAGAATAAAAAATTATATTTTTTTTAAAAAAACATTGTTCATGAGTGTTAATTGGAGAAGTAGTAAATTAGTTCAGTTTGCAAGTGATGATGGTTAATCTAACTATAATTACAATCAATTTTTAAAATACTTCTCGTAGGGCATTTGTTTAATTATTTCACATTCTGAAAAAAAAAAAAAAAAAAAAAAAAAAAGGTATTGGGGCTTCCAGGGCTGCGCCCCTCTAGCCCCTGAAGATGTTTAGTATAACAAGTAAGGGTCTATCGTCGCTACGTCACCAGGTCCCTCGGTCCCTCGGTCCCTCGGTTAAACCAACTTCTCTGAAAAAATGAGACAACATGACATTTTGACAACAGTCCAGGAAGTCTTAACAAGATAGAATATGAGAGAGGTCCTATAAACCGGAGAAAGTGTCATATAAACATCTGTCAAAAACCTTAACCGAGTAGTTTTCATGCTTTGTCACTTTTCTGTCACTTTTCAGGGAAAAAACATTTTTATTAAATATAAAATGAATTTTACAAAACCACCGTTACCCTTCTTTGGAAATAAGAGTAGATGTAAAGATATTCTATTGAGAGAACTTAAGAAACTACCGAATGGTCTAACATTTGTAGATTTGTTCGGTGGAAGTTTCTATATATCTCATTTGTGCCATACAATATTTCCTGACTCAAAGATTATATGCAATGACTTCGACAACTATATGAACCGTCTCAAACATATACCAGACACAAACAAAATATTGAAAGAGTTAAAAGAAAAGATACCTATAGGTAAGATGGAACGTATACCATTAGATAAGAAAAATACTGTCAGAGAGGTTTTGAAAAAAGCAGAGTATATTGACTGGGATAGTATATCTTCTAGACTATTATATAGTGGTGCTATAAGAGTTCATGACATTGAAACACTTATGTCAAAAGTTTTATATCTTAACTATACAAAGGTTTTCAAAGAGAACATAGAAAAATATACTGAGGGTATAGAGTTTGTGAGATGTCGTTGGACAGAGTTGTATGAAAAATATAAAAACAAGGAAAATGTTTTCTTATAGTAGACCCGCCGTTCTATAACACATGGGATTTTCAATACCAAGTAGACTGGACTTTGAGAGACTCTTTAGAAACTTTAGACGTTTTACATAACTGTCCATGCTTTTACTTTACATCCGATAAAAGTGGTTTGGAAAGTGTCATGAGATGGTTAGAGGACATACATGACTATGATTTTAGATACGATAAGATAGAATATGAGAGAGGTCCTATAAACTGGAGAAAGTGTCATAACAAAGAAATTTTATTGGTAAGTAAATGTGGTTTGAAATAGGACTACTTGTTTTAGGTTTTTTCCATTGTGTCATTTACTTATTTGACGTGGCAGAAAAGTACAGAGAATATGAAGATGAACCAATGCCAGCAAATGTTCAGTATATGTACTCGTAAGAGATATTTTTATCTAATATTAAATGGACGCACAGAACTTAGCGAATGCACAGCAACCTGGACAACCAAACCCAGAGAATATTCCAAATGAAGTTAGAATACAAACTGCAATGGCAAACTATGGTCAAGTGCCAACAGATGTACAAATGCAAACTGCCATGTCAAATGACGCTGCGTTAGGTTTGCCACCATGGTATGCAAATATGAGATGGAAAGAGTTTTATACAAACCCCGAAGTGGGATATAAACAACTCTATGCAGATGACGCGAACACAGGAGTTGACCCAGAATATGTTTTCTACCAGAGGAGAAATAGAATGTATGAGCTCCAGTTAAAGAATGCAATGGAACTCAGAAGGAAACGTAAGAGACTAGGCGGACATTAGATTTTTACATATAGTAAAATGGGTTTCTTCAGTAGTATTGGAAACTTCTTTCGAAATGTCGGAAGAGGTATATGGAATGGAATAAAAACCGTAGGAAGAGGAATTTGGAACGGAGTCAAAAATATTGGTAAAAGAGTAGGTCAGTTCGTTGGTATTATACCTAAAGACCCTGAACCAGAAGAACAAGCTCCTGTTATACAACAGCCTGAACCTGCACCACAGTCAAGTTGGCAACCAAATCCAACACCTCAACCGTATTAAAATTATATTTTTACCGTTCGATAGTAGTTGTATATGAGACTAAGTTCTAAGTAAAACGCATGGTATAATGGAACTATTCTCTTTCTTCCATCTGTTGTAAACCATACTTGAAAGTCTGAAATACTTCCACTCGGTGGTTCATATAGCTTTGTAGGTTTTTCGTAAAAGTCATTTGCCAAGCATAAAAAAGAGTTTTGGGCGCCAGAAAATGAAGCATGAACGATAATAGCATCTGAGTCGAAAACATTTTCATATGTTCCATTAGGGTTTTCGACTTCATAAAAGTTCGGGTGTACTGGATATTCTGCAGGCTGATTTAACATCCTCAAAAATCTATACCATGCCAAGTTGTTATATTTTGTAGAAATATAAACGTTCTCCAAGGTCTTCTATTCTATCGATTTTAACAGTTGCATTTTTCCTGTCATAAACAATATCGAGATGGTACTCTCCTTCGTCAATGTTGTACTGTTTTGCATATTCGAGATAGATATCGTTTATTTTTTCTTGAAAAGCTTGAAGAGTTGTTTCTAAGTTTACAAGCAAATTCACTTGTAAAAGTTTTCCCTGTTCAAATTTCTCATACGTACGTTTTTCTTTGTTATAGTATCGAACTTCAAAAGCGACCGTAAATGGGAAACCATGTATGGCTTCTGAAATGAACTTCATTCTACGAAAGCCAATAGCTTTTGTGACGGATGGGTCTCTTAGCCATCTTAACGGGTAGTCAAAACGATAGCCTTCATGCTTTACGGTCTCTGTCTCAAACTTTTGACCGACGTTAGTAAAAAGTTCATCTAATGGTTTAGTTGTAGCAACTCTAGAATTTTCTTTTTCTATTGAAAGCATATTTTATCTAGAATAAAAATGTCGAAAGAAACAGCGTCTATGAGAGAAATACAACACAACCGACAACTCATTATACAAGCTCTAAATAAGAACACAACAAACTTTTCAAACTATTCTAAGATATCTGAGTCATTGAAAGAAGGAAACTTAAAACTGACGATAAACCCAATGACAGATGAGTTTCTGTTTCAAGACAGTAAGAACCATACTGTCTGTGTAAATCCAACAAAAGGAACTTTAAACGAGAAACCTATAGATGAACTTCTTTTGAAAGCAGATGTTGACAACAAAGCTGACAAAGAGTATGTCATTGAAAAAGTTCAAGAAGAACATGACAGAGCAGATGCAACATATGCAACGAAAGAACATACTCATCCTGAACTAGCGGACAAAACATATGTTGACAATAAAATGTCAAGTGAAGTGACAAGAGCTGAAAACGAATATTCTAAAAAGACTCATATACATACCATTGCAAATATTACAAACTTACAAGAAACCTTAAACAGGAAAAGTGACGTTGGACATACACATTCTATATCTGAAATAACAGACTTAAACGTTAGCCTTGAAAAGAAAGCTGACAAAACATATGTCAACAGTGAGTTAGAGGAGAAGGTAGATAGGGGTTGTATGGCTAGTGCGTTAGTGAAGAAGGCAGATAAGGAATATGTGGATGAAAAAGACAATGAAATTATAAAAAGCGTTGAATGGTACCATGAACGGACATCGAAGATTTTAGAAGGTAAAGCCAATACAGGGTGGGTTTCAGGATGTTTAGACCTTAAAGCGGATAAAACATATGTTAACGATGAGTTAGAGAAGAAGGCAGAT